TTATTTATGTTTTTCTCACATTTAAAACGATAACCGAATGAGTATTAGAATTACAAGAAATGAAGCAAACAACACTTAATTACGCGACACTCTCCCAATGATTTCAAACAACCTGAATTTAGATGACGTATAACTCTACATTACATAAAACGTCAAAATCGGGCGGGCTTGGTGCACATCCCACGTTACGAGAAAGGCTCAACAATAAAATTTCCGAATTCAGCTTGTCGAATGCTGGTACTCAAATAACATTAAAAAAAAACAAGCACAAATTAAATCCCACATCCCTCGGTCCACAATGTTATTGATTTGACCGATGAAAATGTGCAAGGTTCTTTGTCTCAAAATGGATCAACGTTTAAGATTAGTTTAAATCCCAAAAATAAAGTGTTATGAATCGCGAGTAGAGTATATGAGGTGTGGATAATATAATAACGTCAGTAAAAACGTCCAAAACCTTACAATAGATCATTATAAACAATGGGTTAAACCTAAATATTTTTTAAGTGAATTTCCGCCACGTGTTTTATGTGAACACATATGTAATTGTTAAATTGTATTAAAACCAGGGACAGTTAAAAACTCTAACATCAACTGTGAATGTACAAATAATAAAACAAAAATTACACGTGTTGACGGTTTGATCAAAACCTTCACAATATCTCAGATTAGAAAATCGTTAATTACACTAATTACTTTCGGTGGAAGAAGATCGTGGCGTCGAATGCGATTCAGTTTTTGTTTAAACACTTTCCGTTTAGTGAAATTACAAATTAAATTAGACATACCCATAATTTTAACACGTGTTTTCACTGCGCTCACTAAACAAGAAGTCAGGGGTGAAAAACAGGAAGTGTGTGACCTTTCAGAATTCTATTTGCCAGTCCTTAACACTAAAACACTGGTGATTATTTTCTGATTTTTAATTTTTCAAGTGCTGTTTTGAGACTTTTTTTCTCAGGGAGAAGTTTAAATTTAAAATTAGGACACCATAACATAATAAAAAGCTTCAGCCTAGTTATGTTATTTAACAAATTCTGTAAAACTAGTTATTACTAAATTACGAAGTGTTTCTAATAAATAATAATAATAATAATACGTACATATCGATGTATGGAATAAAAATGAGAAATGTCAAAAGAAAATCAGTCGTCAGTAATTTTCCCATTGTTTTAAACGGCTTTTTAGATTTTAGGATAGAAAATTGAACGGTTAGAGGTGTCCCAATTAAAACTCCGCAATCGTACATCTTGAGAACAGACAGATATTGAAATTTCGTAAACACCATTGTACATATTTAGATGATTTTACATATTTTGTTTAACTTTACTAATTCTTTATTTGTGTTTTATACTAGCAAAACGTCTTAAACTAAGAATATTGTTGAAATCCTAATAAATAACCCAATCGGTTTTTTTCGGGAAAATGTTTTGGAAACAGTGTGTTCTATTTTGTATGAATTTTTAAATGTTTTTAGTGACAATTTTTGTGGTTGTTTTCGATACACTGTATGATATTAACAGTAAAAAAAAATGAAAAATTAAAATAATCGAAAATTAGAAAAATCGAGAAATCTAATAATCGAAAAATCGAAACCTTAAAAAATCGTAAAACCGAAACATTGAAAAATCGAAATATCGAAGAATTGAAAATCGAAAAATGAAACATCAGAAAATCGAAAAAATGTAAAATTCAAAAGTCTAAAATTTAAAAACCGAATAACGAAAAATCGAGAAATCGAAACTCCCAAATTTAAAAAATCGGATAACTGAAAAATCAAAACATCGAAAAACCGAGAAATCGAAAAATCAAAAGATCCTTAAATCGTGGAGTCGAAAAGTCGAACAATTGAGAAACCGAAATAGACCAAAATCGAAAAATCGAAAAGTTAAAAATTGAACAATTTATAAATTGAGAAATTGACAATCAAAATATCGTAAAATCCAAATCTCAATAAATCGAGAAATCAAAAAACTTAAAAATTCGAAAAATTGAAAAATTGAGAGATTGAAAGATCAAAAGAACGAGAAAGTGATGAAGTCGAAAAATAGAGAAATCGACAAACAAAAAGTTAAAAGTTGAAAAATTGGAAAAGCGGAAAAATCAAAAAACGAAAAAATGGAAAACTGGAAAAACTGAGAAACCGAAATAGGCCAAAATAAAAAATTCAAAATCTGATAAATCGAAAACCTGAACAATCAATTCTCAATAAATCGGGAATGAAAAATTAACAAATCGAAAAATCGAAAGATTAAGAAATATTGAAAAATTAAAATATCAAAAGATTGAAAAATCTAAAATTTAAAAATCCAAAAATTGAAAAAATAGGTCAAAATCGAAAAATCCAGAAGTCAAAAATAGAAAAGCCGAAGAATTGAAATATTGAAAAATTCTAAAACTAAAATATCTAAAAACTGAAAAATCGAAAAATTGAAAAAGCAAAAACCTGAAAAATCAAAAAATTAAAGAACTGAAGAACAGGAAAATCGAAACACTCGAAGGTCAAGAAATGGGAAAATCAAAACATCGATTAATTGAAAAATCGAAAAATTGAGAGTTTATGAAAGTCAAATTTGACAAATTAAAAAATCGAAAATTTGACACAATAACAATTGAAAAACAGAAAATCTAAAACCGGGAAGTCGAAAAATCAAAAGATTAAGAAACCGAAACATTTGAAAAATTTGAAAAATCGAAAATTTTAAAAACCAAAAAATCTAGGAGTCAAAAATCGAAAAGTCGAAGAATAGAAATATTGAAAAATCCCAAAACTGAGATATCGAAAAACTGAAAAATGAAAGAGAAACTGAAAAATGACCGAGAAACTGAAAAATGGAAAACCTGAAAAATCCGAAAACTGAAATAGCCAAAAACTGAGAACCTAAAAAGTCGAAAAATTGAGCAATCGAAAAATCCAAAAAGTGAAGTCGAAAAATCGAAACCTTTAAAAAAACTAAAAAATGAAAAATCGAAAAATTAAAGAATTGAAGAACAGGAATTCTAAATCCTCGAAATGGGGAAACCAAAACATCGATTAATTGAAAAATCGAAAAATTAAAAATTATGGATGTCAAATTTGAAAAATTGAAAAATCGAAAATTTGAAAAAATGACAATTGAAAATTGAAATATGGAAGAGCTAAAATGAAAAATCGAGAAATCGAAAAATCTAAAATTTTAAATATTGAAAAATTAAAATACCAAAAAATTGAGAAATCTAAAATTTAAAAATCGAAAAAGTAAAAAGTCGACACATCGAAAAATCCAGAAGTCAAAAATGGAGAACTCGAAAAACAGAAATATTGAAAAATCCCAAAACTGAAATATCGAAAAATGAAAGAAAAACTGAAATATCCAAAAACTGAGAACCTAAAGAATCGAAAAATCAAAAAAGTGAAGTCGAAATATCGCAACCTTAAAAAAATCGAAAAATTGAAAAATCAAAAACCTGCAAAATCATAAGATCGAAAAATTGAATAATAAGTAAACTGAAAAATCCTAAAACTGAAATGTCCAAAAACTGAGAAATTAAAAATTTGAAAAATTGAGAAATCGAAAAATCAAAAAAGTGAAGTTGAAAAATCGAAAGTTGGAACAGCAAGAAATTATGGTCGAAACCGGTTAGGATGTGTATCAGATCACGGATCATGGCTTATAAATCAAATCGTTTCCGAACGCTTAGAGTCGACATTGGCCTGAGTGCGCTCTGGTCTGTAGATCAAACAAGTTCTCAGACGACGAACTGTAATTCGTGTGACATGAATTAAAGTGAAAGAAACAATAAGCAGCTTGTAATCTTCCGGTAAATCTAGTGTCAATTTGTCGAAAGTAAAACGCGTCGTTAAAAATATTATCAAATTTTTTCTATTGTAGTTAGTTATATTCCTAGTTAGAAACAAACACTATTGCCAACATAAGTCGAGGAGTCCTCAACCATCATTTAATTTAAACTACGACGCTTCTCTATGTTCTCTGGTTTAAACCAGAGAACATATGTTAACACTATGTTGTCAGTATTAATATTATATGAGTACATTGGACACTATTGACAATATGAATTTTCATTCATTATTACAAAACATTTTATTATGTATATGCAATTTTAAAGCTTCTGACATTCGATAACTTTTATTGTATCGTTGATGTACAAAAGCATAACAGAGGGTCAATATTTGAGCCTTATGGTATACCAAAAGAAGTGCTATATTGAACGAAAACAAAATTTCTAGATCTGATAAGCTGTTATCTATTATGTATTACTAAATAAGAATTGAAATTGTTGATAAAGTACCAAATCATCCCAATTTTTCCAGTAAAACAAAACGATTGATTTGGTCAGAAAACTTTTTAGAAGTGATACTGGCACATAAATTTGTATTTATATATTTGGGTTAGTATTATTTTTTAGTTTTTTTCCAAAGTACTAAATAATCGTAATTTAATCAAATTCGAAATCGCCAGAAGATGTCGCTGGTGAAAAAAATGTGATGGTTTTGTTTACATTTTTCCATGTTATAAAGAAATATTTATGTCAAAATACAAATGATAGAAACCGTTTTATAAAAAATTATTTGCTCAGAAACTGTTCATTGAGCTTCTAGGGTCACAAGAAAAAAAAAATTAGGAAATAAATTTTTGTCGAGATCAGACATAGACCGGATAATTGGTTGCGCTTCAGAAACTAGGGGCATTTTGGGTGTGAATCACTTTGTACTCTCTATAGGATGACAACAAGAAATTGTAAATATGTAGGTGGACGCTTGCCCACTATTTAGTTCTGAACATAACAGTGTGCTTTATGCTATTTTAATTTTTATATAGGTACTAATTAATCACCTAATTATCGTATTCACACTTCTAAAATCAGATACTTACCTACTTAAAAATAAATAAACAAATGCAAAAATGAAAAGCTCCTATATTGTGTACATTTGTTTTCTTTGTATCACTTTAAATAAGCAAAGTTGAAATTCTTCATTAACAATTATTATCTGTTTTTAGAGCTTTCACGGTACAGCTGCTTTAGAACAGCTAATAAGTTCAGAAGAAGAAGAAGACTTGACTCTCTCCGCTGACGAGGGTTTTAGTCCTCCAACCCCCAGCCCATGTGAATTGAGCCCTGCAAGGGCGAGCTTACGAAACGCTTGGAAGGATCGTGTCCTCCATTAGGTTACTTGCTCTGATTTTATATTTTATTTAGAGGTAAATTATCGTTAGGGACGACATTCGAACGAAATGCATCATGTAAATTATTGTAGAATATTCGTGAATATTTTGTTATTTTTTGTATGTAGGTAATGTAAGAAAAAAGAAGAGGATAAACTTTTAGATGTCGGTGCACAATTTCAGACTAAAAAACTATGTACTGAAGTGGCAGTTGACACAATAAGAGCTCAAATTGATCTAATCATATGCCAAATATTTACTGTTTACAGCTGCCTAATGTTGCATTTATTCGCTAACTTTCGTCACTTTGAAACATGTTTACTGTGATATATTGTTTATAAAATCTTAAAACTAGTTCGTGGTAAAAATTACTTTAGTTTTAAGTATGAAAAATTCAGGTTGAGTGATAAAAGCAATATTGCTGCAATGAATTATAAAAACATTACCTACGTACTTGAAGTCATTTAAATTTATTATAGTATTTATACGACCATATCATCATCCTACCTATATACCTGACATCGATTGTTTTGTTTAATGCACACATTTATTATTATTCTACCAAACACGTTAGTTTATAAATAGTATTTCATAACTTTGTATTATTTAATTACACTTTTTCATTAGATTTATTAATCTTCAGTCATTACCTCCTTTTGCAGTTGTGCTGAATCAACAATGACATAATTATATCACAACCACTCTGGAATGTTGATCTCTCAAAATAAAACAACGAAAGTTGAAAACAGCACAATTGTTAAGAGGAGACTTTTCGTACTTTAAGAATCTCTTCCAAAGTAAAGTAACCAAGAATAGATGTGTAATGTTTTATTTTGGTCGATTCTTTTTCATTAATTATATGTTATTTTTATTTCATAGTATATAAGTATAGAGTATACCCAATTGTGATTTTATAATCTGAGATTATTAAATGTGCAAATATTTTTATTATTCTCTGTAGTTAAGTTGTGCAAAATGTTAAACAATTGCTTGTTATTTATATGCTACAACTCAAGACAAATGTAAAAATTATTTATAGCTACACCACTGAGTTAATGTGTGTTCCCTGTTACTTTTACTGATGGTAGCTCCTTTGTATATGTTGCTTATTTACAGAGAATTTCTGCTTTATATAAATAAATTATAAATTATAGAAACATTTTTTTTATTGACAACCAACTCGAAATTCTTCATTCAACAAATGGACATATTGGTAACTAGGCCTATAGCAAGTAGTAATATCATGGTTAAACTTTTTTTCTTTAATGTGTCAGAATATGCTTTTTTAGTTCCGGCATATTTTTTGGTTTTACATCACACTTATGACATCTCAGGGGCGTTTCCATATATCTCTTACAAACATCCCTGGAGGGTAGCACAACTCTGCCATTTTCGTCTAAATTGTGACGAATGTCTGAAAAATATTACATCAAACAACAAGCCTTATAACTACTCAAACCCAATAATACCCTCAGAAGTTATAAAAAAATCAGTTGTAAAACTATTCCAGTGTTTCTTCGTTTTAAGACATTCTGAATTCATATCATCACTGATGACATGTAAATGTAATCGAGCCATACTTGGTTCTGCATGATAACCCAGTTTAAATGTGCTTTGTTTATGTTCATCGGAACTTATAATTCCCAAAGCAACCTCCTCCATGTGTTTCAATAATGAAACATGCTCACTGGTGACTGATTTTAAACTTGCTATTTTTGCTTTCGGCATTATTAAATAATGAAATTTGGCTTTTGGGTATTTATCTTTTATAACATTCACCAGTTCATCGGCTTTTGTAAAAAACTGTGGGTCATCAACGGTCTGTAGAAGACCCATACTCCAGTGACCAGTAGTTTTAGTTCTCTTTGATTGTGTTGCTTCTCCATCATTTACTCTGTCGCCACTTCTTCGTTTACTCATGTTTATTACGGAATTTGAGAACAAAAAAATATTAGATTGTTTAGCACTGTTAACAGTGATTATTATACCTAACTGTATGGTGATTATATCAATTTAAACTTGACTAGAAATATTTCTATCAATAAACTTGTCAATAAAATTGAGAGCTTGACTCTAGAGACAGACCCGAAACTTTTTGCCGAGTATGCGCTTTTAATAAATGTTATTTTTTGAACTCAGTGACTATAATCTAATAAAAAAAGAAATAAGATAATAAATGAGTTCAAAAAATCAAATTCCTTTTCTGATATCTCGTGTTGTAATAGTTTATTAAAATAACAATTTAATTTATTTATCACGTAGAAATGATGTGTTACAGCGCATGTCCAATAGAAAGATTAGGTCTGTCAGTAGACACAAGGTCGTTAAATGTGATTGCTTTTTAATGTTATCATGTTATCATAAGCTGACTTGACTCGTTGACAGTTAATAACGAAGTTAGCGTCTTTCACTGGCTTCCAAATGAAATATTATTTTCTACGTGTTGTACCATTTATTTCAATTTATATTTAGTATACATAATTCTGTACAGCGATATTCATCGAAATATAGTTGCAAACAAATTTTCAAGACGTATTTCGTCTTGCTAACCTCAAAATGTAAACACCAACTTCACAACAGTTTCAGTGATTGTCAACGAAGCGAAGACATCACGGTGCGTTGCCCCATTCAGTCCGTACAAACTATTAATTTACCAAAACGACAAATCTTGCAAAATGAGCGATAGCGACGAAGATAACTACAACAAAGACGAAGACTGTGTGGACCTCACCGGATTCTTGTTCGGTAACATAAATGAACAGGGTCAACTCGAAAGCGATGTTTTGGATTCGGAATCTCAAAAGCAGCTCTCAAACCTCGGAAAGTAAGTCCGAGAGTGTATTTTTAAATTGTTTAAACGAATCTGCAACTGTTGTAGACTTGGTTTGGGCTCCACCCTTAAAGAAATGATAGGTGTCGATAACATTCCTAAAGATGATTCAGACAGCGATTATGATACCCAGGATACCGAAAAAAGTAAATTTGATGACGACGGCAAAGAGAAGAGTGGTGCTAGCTCGCAGCAAAGTACTGACAGTGGTTGTAAGACTTTCTTACTTACAGTTGCTGCAGATGAATGTTAACTTATTTTTTAGTTGACTCAAAATCTCCATCTGCGGTGGACTTTTCTGATATTAATGAGCTGGCAGAAGAGGAGGAGGTGAGGAAAGTTATGAAATGATCATTCTCTGATCGAAACTATTTTAGGTGAAACCAGAAAGTTATGATGCAGATGATGAGAATGTAAATGAAAAGGATAACAAGTTAATGCCACCTCCACCAGCTCCTGTAAGCAAAGAAGTGATAGAGCCACCAGTCACAATTAATATTGATGATGGTGATAAAAAAAAATTGGAAACACCATTAGCAGCAATGTTACCCTCAAAATATGCTAATATAGATGTAACTGAACTATTTCCAGACTTTAGACATGGCAAAGTACATCATTCTGAAATTATCCTGTACTTCAATTAAGTGAAAATCTCTTGTAGGTGTTAAGATTTTCTAGACTTTTTGGCCCAGGGAAACCAAGTAGTTTGCCAAATATTTGGCGAAATGTAAGAAAAAAGCGCAAAAGAAGGAAACATAAAGATAGTGCTAATCAGCATGATTCTGATTCAAATTCAGAAGATGAGAAACCTAAACACAGAGGCTGGTTTTTGGACTATGCTGAGACGCCCCCTATAGATCAGTGTCGTAGTGACGACGAGGTATTAAATTTAACAACTTAGAAATAATCAGTGATACATATTTTATTTTTAGGAAAAATTTTTAAAACCACTGGAAAGCACCACTGTGGATAATAAAACAGAAACCCAGTCAAAAGATGATACTGGACCTAAAGTTGCTGACTGGCGATTTGGTCCTGCGCAGATCTGGTATGATATGTTAGATGTACCTGAAACTGGCGATGGGTTCAATTATGGGTTTAAACTTACAGAGGAAAAGGTATATTTTTAATAATGTTGTAAAATTGAAATTAATACCTTGTAAAACAGCCACAAGAAGTAAAAACTGAGAGTGAAGAACCAAAAGAGGGTGACGAGTTCCCAGATGACGCTTTTTTGATGGTAACGCAACTTCATTGGGAAGACGACGTGGTCTGGGATGGCAATGATATAAAACACAAGGTAATTTGGATCAAATGGGGCTAATTTTGACAAGAATTGATTTATAATTCAAGGTTTTGCAAAAGTTAAATTCAAAGACCAACGCAGCAGGGTGGGTACCTAGTAGTGGCAACCGAACAGCGCAAGCATTCAGCCAACCAGGGAAGGGCGGGCTGTTGTCTGGAAGTTCTGTCAGATTACCGATTCCAGCCCCACCGTTGCCTGGTATGAAAGCAAAATCCCAAATGTAAGTTATTATTTACTTTTGGTTTTTGATAAACATTAAGGAATTTGTTTAGTATGTCAGCCAAGCCTCGACCTGATCCTGAACAAGATGATACTTGGTACTCCATTTTTCCCGTTGAAAATGAAGATCTGGTTTATGGAAGATGGGAAGATGACGTTATATGGGATGCTGAATGTATGAATCAGATACCTAAACCTTCAATTCTCACTTTGGATCCCAATGATGAAAATATCATTTTGGGAATACCAGATGACATAGATCCCTCAAAGCAGATTGCAGGTATGTTGCTTGTTTGTGTATAATCTAACTAGAGAACGCATTAACTTGAAAAGCTACAAAACTGTTGTAAGAAAGTAGTTATTTAATAAAGAGCTGTTTCTACTCCTCCCAATACAAGAATGCAGAAACCACATTCTTCGCAAATATGACAACAAATTGCGAGATATTGCCAACCAATTAAAATTAAAAACAGTAAAGACGTTTTGAAAAAGATATGAAAGAACGGCAGTTCAAAGTTTTGAAACCAACTTTGGAAAAAAAGTTGATGAATGCGGTCTTTTTGTCGACAATGAATATCCATACCTCGCTGCGTCACCAGACATACAGAAATACTTGAAGTAAAAACCCATACGCAGCACGCGAGATGACTGTTCGAGAAGGAATAGAAAAAAAAGTAATTCTGTATTTATTTATAAACACAAAAGGCATTATAGAATTGAAATTAAAACATCCCTCTATATATCAGGCACATGCTCAGCTGCGAATAACTCGGCGAGATATTTGTAATTTTTTTGTATACACCAAAAAAAAAAATCATTGTTGTATACAAATAAAAAAGATAATCTTTTTTGGGAAACTAATATGGCTCCTCAACTGCGCAAGTTTTATTTTGGTGCAATTTTGCCAGAATTAGTAGATTCTCGTTTAAAACGAAATTTGCCTCTCCGTGATGTAAAGGTCCAAGATTTATAATAAACTATTTTACTTTACCTTTTTATATTTAGGATACACACTACTTGATAATGATGTCTGTGATAAATCGCTCGTGAATCATTTTATCTTTCATTTTTTGTAAACTTTTATTTGTATTTCATTTTATTTATTGTTTACTAAAATGTTTTATTGTCTTCTATATTTTTTTTTTACTTTTTTGTATTGAAATTTTTATCTAGACTTTCAATTATTTACTTAGCCCTATATATATATTACTTCTAATAATTGCCGATTTTATATTTGTACACTCCGCTCTCTTATGTTTTATATATAATTTTTTTATAGTACAGTTAATTCCTCGCTAGTCCGAATTTTCGTCGAATGTATAATCCGAACTGCTGGTGATACATATATTTTATTGCTTCTTTTCCTAGAATTTTCGTGTAATACGCACAAAGACAAGGCGTGTAGTGTGCACTTGCAGTTGCAATCATGTATTTAAAACGAAAGCACGTTACTCTGACTTTGAAAGAAAAATATGAAATTCTGAAAAAAATAAAAGCAGGTGTGAATGGAAAAGCGTTAGCACTAAAATATCATGTGGGAAAATCGACAATATCTGATATAAAACGGAATAAAGCAAAAATTGAAGCATTTGTAAACAGCTGTTTTGAGCAAAAACCTAAAAATTACAAAGTTTTTCAGGTAATCTCCTTGTTTTTAATGAATTTTTCAAATAAATTTGTTGTTTCTGAATAAATGGCATTATACTTTCATATCCATATAGTTTATTTTAGGTAGTTTGATGGTTTCGATTCTCCGAATTTTTCGATAACCCGAATGGGCTTGGTTTTAATTGGTTCGGTTTATCGAGGGATTATTGTATAAATCTTATTTGTACTTTTTTTTGTCTATTATAGACACAAACATGCTTTCTGTTGGAAATAAAATTTACTATTATTATTCATATTCAAATATTTTAGATTTTTTTTTTACGGAATTAGAATAAAGTATGAAAAATTCTTATTAAAATTTAATTTATTTAGAAATAAATTACTTATGTTATTATTTCAAAATTCATAACAGACTTTTTGGAGAACTTCGATTATTTAGTTACCAACAAATAAAAAAACGATTTTCCGCACTTTTTGCACAGAAACATATTTAAATTAGTTCCCTCAATACAATGATACCCATAAATAACATTAGTCAACAACCAAAATACTCCTTTAATAAAAATGTGTGCACTGAAGGCAGTTTTTTATGTAGATTTCAAATCTGCTCTCCAAATTTTTCCATCACGTCACATTTTTGTGCTACACGTAATTTTATATCGTAAAATTGCCATTTTTCACATAAAACGTGCAACTGTACTGCCCTTATTACACGAGTTCAAAAAATCGGACTTGTTGATTTAGTCAAGTAGGCATGTGTCAATATTTAAATGACATTTAGAAGTTACGTCAAAATTCTTGGTGTGTGTAATTTTGCAAAATGAATGTAATACTAAAAAAAGGTCGCACTTACAATTGGTTTCACAAAAAATGGGACAAGATGAGTAAATCATCAGTACTCATAGATCGAAAAGCAATGGGAATATGACGTTTACGTCATTTTCATTTGTCCCGTTTTTTTTTGAAACCAATTGTACATGTGTAAGAACAACCCTAATGTATTTTGTTACATCTGCGGTCAATATGGAATAAAATGTCAACGTCTGCATATATCGCATATTGTTAAATTGATATATCACAAATATCTCGGTTTCGAAGTAAGGGATCAGGATAAACAATGGGACATTATTGTTGGTTCTTACAGTCGCGGACAGTGAATTTCGTTCACACAATTCACGCGAATTCACAAAAATTCACTGTAGTCGGTGCTTTATTGTCATGATGACTGACGTAAGTATTGTCAAATTTAATTTAGCTTCGAACCTGCCATCGATTAGTTATTTTAATGAAGGTAAACTAATCTCCCTTTTCCAAGACGGGATGTCGCTACACTTTTGGGCTTACCGCCGACTAGTGTTAGTTATCGTATAAAAAAATGTTTGCCCCTTTCTGTCAAAATGACAAAAAAAGGTTAGAAAGATCTAAGGGCTAATTTAGAGTTTTTTTCTGTCAAAGAAATTGGGTGAACGAAATTCACTGTCCACGACCGTACAAAGGGAGTGTTCATCGAATTGTTACAGTCGACAAGCAAAAAGAAAATGATTTTAAGCATCTAAAATTAATTAAAACCATTTATTCAAATCCTTAGCTAATTATTTCATAAAAATTATTATTATTGTGCAAGGTATTATTTTTTTGAAAAGTGTTAAAATCGTGTTTTTTCGTATTTCGGACTCCAATAAGAATTAAACTAGACGTGCACAAACGGCAAAAATCATTTTTATAGAAGTTTTAGGATACAAGGAAGTCATTTATGCCCAAAAGACAAAAAGCGTATGACTACGATTTTTTTTTTTTTTTTTTTTGTAGACCTTTGTAATTTTCAGGTCTGACAGTTTTACTACTCTGGTCCTTCTAATTACCTGACCGACAGTTGTCATATCTGTGTAAACTGGGTTGTCTAACTTTCTTGAAACTCAAATATTTTCTGAATGCAAAGGACGCTTAAAATAGTCGTAAAGATATGTGATTGTGGCATTGGCCGTATTGGCCGCACCATCATCTTGTTGAAAGTATTGTCGCTGCAGATCACAGTCCAGTTAGTTTATGAATTGTTTTAAAATTACCCACGAGACATCCTCACCCAAATACCTATTTTTGAGAATGCAAACCAACTTCTTCGAATTGATGGGGATTTATAACTGATTCACCGCCTTATTAAATGTAAAATCTAGAAGCTCATCGTTCATATTTTCAGAATTCTTTGAGAACTGAAATAACCAACATCATCGCTGCATTAAACGTCCGAAATGCGTGGACGGGTGTTGTTTCCTTATTTCAAATAATCCTATCTAAAATGTAGAAAATATGAGTCTGTACTTATGATTTATCATTCCATTCAATTTTTATTTATCTTGAAAGTAAGTAGTCTATAAAATAAATATAATATACAGTGCATCTTTTTTAAAAGTGGCCATAGGGATTCCCATGTTAAATTTTATACCCTATGTCAACTTATGTTTTGAGTAAAAATTCAGAGTTGAAACTTTTACTGGATGTAATTTGGGTCGTCTTCTGTCGATTTTGTTAAAGGTTATGCTTTAAATTAAAGGATATTTCTTAAAAAAAATTAAATTATTTGGATGTTTTTGTCAGTAATATTGTAGCCAGCCATGTAAAAACAGGCATTTACCTGAGGTTTCTAAAATTTGATTACTCGTTCGATTACCGTTTTTTGGTGACTGTCAACTTGCCGCAGTACAGAAAAAGTAGAAATGGTCACTGATGTATACATTAAAGCCTTGTCGACAACAGAGAAATTGCGCAAAATTTTGCTGCAGCATTCCCACATCATCCCTTACCTGGCAATAGCATAATTTAAAACATTTATGGCAGGTTTATAAACGCAGGTTTGCTCGATCGTGGACATTAAAAAACGCAATTTTAGTGGAATTATCTTTTATTTTCTTTATTTTTGTTTGAATTCCATCATTCTATTTCTTTTCTAAAATCTGCAATGAAGGTATGTAGTTAATGATCAAATTAAAATAATGTTGCCAAAAATGACAAGTTAAAATGATAAGTCTAAAGCTTCTACGATGTATCAAAAATTTTTAATGAAAATAATTATTTTTTAAAGCACAAATTAACAATTTACTGCAAAAAGTGGTGGTGGAAATTAAGGTAGAACCCTAAAGCTATTTTCACTCCAAAAATTATCTCTGGGTTTTCACCCTAACAAAAGTTAACATAGATATACTTCTTCTTGGAAGAGTTGTGATACGAAACGTCAAAATTAATGGTAAATTTTATTTTACTATGCTGGCTACGGATGCTCTTTTTTGAGTCATGTTTTGATAATTTGTAATTGTCATTTAGTACATAGGCGTATTAATTAATTTTATTCATTGTAAAATACAATTTTGAATTTTTTCCCAAAAATCTCGATGCTAAGGGTAAAAACTCAACACGGATTTTAATTCCTTATATGTATAGGAAAAATGTGGTTCTATAAAATTAAAATAAACTAGTTGAGTAGTTTCGGAGATTATCCGTTTAATAAAAATCCGGACAGACGCTAGACAGACAGACAGACAAACGGAAACGGGTGACTTATTGTTTCGTACTGAGTTTACGCTCTGAAAGTAAAAAGATGCTCATATTTAATATTTCCATTTATCGTTTTTTATGTTTCTGTTATATTTCTAGGAATATTTATTTCATTTGTAGTTGTAACATCCTGCATATGTGAAAAATGTAAACAATTGTATAAAAAAAGAAGTAGACTGTTTCAAAGCCCACCGGGAAATTTCTCGGTGTCCTGGCGGCAGAATCCGACACTGTTTACAAATACTATCCCCACCTACCCGCCCTTTATTTTCTTAGAGGGTATATCATATGCCAAAATCAGTCTTATCTTTACAAATACTAGTCCCCCCCACCCTACCCCCCCTTTATTTTCTTAGAAGGTAAGTCATGTGCCAAAGTCAGTCTTATCTTAGCAGATTCAAGCCCCACTCACCCGCCCTGTATTTTCTTAGAAAGTATGTCATCTGCCAAAATCAGTCTTATCTTAGCAAGTACTAGCCCCGCCCACCCACCCTCTATTTTCTTAGCATGTATGTCATTTTCCAAAATCAGTCTTATCTTAGCAAATTCAAGCTCCGCCCACCCGCTCTCTATTTTCTTACAGAGGATATCATTTGCCAAAATCAGTCTTACCTATACAAATACTAGCCCCGCCCACCCGCCCTCTATTTTCTTAGAGAATGTATCATTTGCCAAAATCAGTCGTATCTTAGGAAGTACTAGCTCCGCTCACCCACCCTCCATTGTCATGGAGGCTATATCATTGGCCAAAATCAATCTTATGTTTACAAATACTATCCCCACTCACCCGCCCTCTATTTTCTTTACAGGGTATATCATTTGTCAAAATCAGTCGTATCTTAGGAAGTGCTAGCCCCGCCTACCCGCCCACTATTTTCTCAGAGAAGATATCGTCTGCCACAATCAGTCTTATCTTTACAAATACTAGTTTTGCCTCTTTTTTTAAATCTTAGATTTTACCGCTTGTCTATTCAGAATTCAACTTCTATTTTACACTAAATAAAATATAAAGTTGCTAAAATGAAGGAAGGAAGTGGGTGGAAGGGTGGAGCTAACTTTATCTTTATTTCTACAGAGTCTAAGTAAACAATTGCCCCACCCACCCGCCCCACTCTTGATTCTAGTGACCCCTCTTAATATTGTTAATTATACACAACGTTATTATCATATTAGAATCTTAGGCAAATCTGTTGAATTTTTGCTGAAAAAGTAGATGAATTCTAGACAAATTTTTTGGAAAATATTAAGCGCGTGTTAAATAAGCATATCAGACATGAGAATTATATTTAAAAAGTATTATTATCGATGTTCCTTCCACTAGTAGAAGCTCCACCTTATTAAATCATTTCATTGGTTCCGAGAAGAGGAATAGCATTGACAGTTGCACCTCATATGATACGGTAAAGTCGTTTTTCGATTAAAAAATAAAATGTTATTAAAAAAAAAACTGTAGTTCTAGATTCTGTTATTTGCCAATATAAAATCCAAGGTCCGTTTGAGAGCCAATAAAAAAGTCATCAAAACGGAGTAGGGGTGGGTGGGTGGGGCTAGTGTTGATTTTGTTTTCAATGTTAGATTTTATCACTTGTCCACCGCCCACTGGTGACCACTCTTAATATTGTTAATATAGACAGCGTTATTATCTTATTAGAATCTTAAGCAAATCTGTTGAACCTTTGCTGAAAAAGCAGATGAATTGTAAACAAATTTTGTGGAAAATATTAATTAATTTTCCAAAGTATATCTAGGGACACTACCTATGACCATTTTTAAAAAAGATGCATTGTATAAGAATGAAATATTTAAATTGTATATTTAATGTTGAAGGTTACATTATCTATTAACAAACACTATTTAACATATTATAAATCAATATAGTTTTGTATCATAAATTTAATAAGCACAAACGTGGCTTTATGAAAGAGTAAACATTTAAAATTGCTCAAAAGTAATGTTTTGAGACAACATATTCAAAAATAATATTAACAACAAAGGCGATAAATCTATACAGAAACCAGTAATATTAACAGCCATAAAAATTTCGAAATGTTATTCCTTGGGAGTTTTTTTTTTTTTTGTATTGAAACTATTGCCATCGTAATCTAAACCATTATACTTTTAATTATACATAATGTATCATATTGTTAATACATACTAAAATTTTAAGGGCAAGCAACACCCGTGAAAGTAAAAATTCCACACCCTCACGTGAAAAAATCAAAAATTCTTCTCGGCAAAGCGGGCGTAATCAATGTATTGCAAGAAGATACTCCTCCGCCACCCCCCAAATCACCCAATAGAGACCCATTCAACATTTCAAACGATGTGTAAGTATTTGATTATGTACGGGAAACAAGTAAAAATAATAAACATCTTCACAACTAGTTATTACATGCCACGTTCGTCCGAAACCACCATGAGATTGAAAGTCGGTGGCGGTAATCTGATACAACATTCAACGCCGGTCGTAGAATTGAGAGCTCCCTTTATTCAAACCCATATGGGTTTGATGCGTTTACGAAACTTCCATAGACCGCCAATGAAACGGTTCTCACATGGACCGTTGGCTCAACCAGGCCCCCATTCTGTGATGCCATTGGTAAAACATATCAAGAAGAAAGCGAAAGTAAGCGCATATTGTGTGAATAATTTTGAAAATGGTAATTGTGGTACATGTTTTATTTTTAGCAAAGAGAATCAGAAAGAATGGCTTCTGGTGGAGGTGACGTGTTCTTCATGAGAACTCCTGAAGATTTGACTGGAAGAGATGGCGATATTATTCTTGTAGAGTTCTGTGAGGAGCATCCTCCTCTGATGAATCAAGTAGGAATGTGTTCGAAAATTAAAAATTATTATAAGAGGAAGGCAGCTAAAGATTCGGGTCCACCGACGTATAAGTACGGAGAGACTGCGTATGCGCATACTTCGCCGTTTTTGGGAATTTTACATCCGGGGCAGTCCATACAGGCTATAGAGAATAACATGTACAGGTGAGTTTGTTGAAGACATAATCGTTACAATAAGACGAAAACTATAGGAGTACTAATAGTTTTGAACAAAAAATCAATTTAAATCTTGTCTAAAAAAGAACAGGTTATCTAATATTTTGTTTTATTTATTATTATTTTAGAGCCCCTATTTATGAGCATATTATACCAACAACAGACTTTTTGATAATAAGAACCAGGCAACAGTATTACGTCAGAGAATTAGATGCAATTTATGTGGCGGGACAACAGTGTCCTTTGTACGAAGTACCAGGACCAAATTCAAAAAGAGCAAATAACTTTGTTCGAGATTTTCTTCAGGTAAAATTTGACATTTAACGGCGATTTTCAGTTACGACTCTTGCCTTAGGTTTTCATTTATCGACTTTTCTGGAAAAGCAGAGACAATCCAAGAAGGATCAAAATGGATGACATTAAAAAAGCTTTTCCTTCACATTCTGAAAGTAGTATCAGAAAGCGACTTAAGTTATGCGCAGACTTTAAAAGAACTGGAATGGACTCAAATTGGTGGGTGATAAAGCCCGAATTTCGTCTTCCAACCGAGGAAGAAATTCGAGCGATGGTCTCACCGGAACAGTGTTGCTCTTATTTCAGCATGGTAGCCGCTGAACAAAGATTGAAGGTATGATCATAACGTGTAAAACAAAGAGGAAACGATGTACTTGTAGGATGCCGGTTACGGTGAAAAATTCATCTTCACTCCAGCTGAAGATGACGATGAAGAAATGCAACTGAAAATGGACGACGAAGTGAAAGTGGCACCTTGGAATACGACAAGAGCGTACATTCAAGCTATGAAAGGAAAATGCCTGCTTCAGTTGACAGGGCCTGCAGATCCTACAGGATGTGGTGAAGGTTTCAGTTACGTCAGAGTGCCAAACAAACCGACTGTAAGCTACAAAGAAAATTTAACTTCCTACTGACTTTATTTCTTGTAGCAAAATAAAGAAGAGCAAGAATCGCAACCAAAGCGCACTGTCACTGGAACCGATGCTGATTTGAGGCGTTTATCGCTTAATAATGCCAAAGCTTTATTGAGGAAATTCGGAGTTCCGGAAGAAGAAGTAAGTAGAATTTTAATACCGAGTATATGAAACATTATTTCATCTCGTTTATGTGTGTTTTTTTTTTAAGATTAAAAAGCTGTCGCGTTGGGAAGTCATCGACGTTGTCCGAACTCTTTCCACCGAAAAAGCCAAAGCAGGAGAAGAAGGAATGGATAAATTCTCCAGAGGAAACCGCTTTTCCATTGCAGAACACCAAGAACGCTACAAAGAAGAATGCCAAAGAATCTTCGACCTCCAAAATCGGGTTTTAGCTAGTGCCGAAGTGTTGAGTACTGACGAAGGAGAGAGTTCCGACGAAGACAGCGATGAAGACATTGAAGAGATGGGCAAAAATATCGAAAACATGTTGGCGAACAAGAAAACGAGCACGCAATTGTCTCTAGAGCGAGAAGAACAAGAGCGTCAAGAATTGCGCAAGATGATTATGGAAGGAGATGAAAAGAAAGGGAAGGACAAGAAGAAAGATGAAGACGATAATCAGGAGCAGTCGAGTTACGCACAACAAGGACGAGTTTTGAAGATTGTGCGTACGTTCAGAGATGCGGAAGGGAAAGAGTTTACACGTGTGGAAACCGTAAGGAAACCGGCAGTGATCGATGCGTACGTGAAAATAAGGACCACCAAGGACGACGCGTTCATACGACAGTTCGCTACTCTCGATGAAGCGCAGAAGGAAGAAATGAAGAGGGAGAAACGAAGAATTCAGGAACAGTTGAGAAGGATTAAGAGGAATCAAGAGAAAGAGCGGTTGGCTTTGGGGCTTGCGTCTTCCTCGAATCCGTCGGCAAGTGGCGAAAAACTGGGATTAAATGACAGTAAGTTATTAGAAAAATATTTTACAGCTTTTAAAATTTTATGATGACATACCTGATTGTCAAATTGACATTTATTACAACTGTCATAGTCTCAAGTGGTCTCAATCCACATTTGGTACGCGTGCTCATGTCAAAATTGACAACTGTGAACTGACATCTTAGCATGGCTGCCAATAATTCAGGATTGCCAACACAAAAATTTGCTTCAAACATTAATAGTCACCCGGTACTACATTTCGTAATACGCGAAAAGATGATGAAACGTAAAAACTATTTAAAATCGCGAAAAATCGGTTTCAATTTTTTTTCTGGATTACGTGAGTGGTAAGTTTTCATTATTTATTTTTGTAATTTTAGAAACGATAAAAGATACAAATTCAACTGAAGTTGTGCAGTCTACTCTGGGTACAGTTACATTGGTAACATATTAAAACTTTGCAACTCTTTAATAATTTTAGTTCGATAGTGTAATACATATAACCTGGACTTGTCAAATATTGTATGTCGTACTAATTGTAAGAATACAGTTTACAGTAATGAGTTCGCAAGATTTTTTTATGTATGTGTTACAAACAACATTTTTTGGTTAAAGTTTCTAAAAAAGGCAAAGATTAGTCCGCAAAAATTGTATTTTAGGTACTAGTTCGAAAAAAATGCAACGATCTATTTGCACAGGTGCTTACGAGACATGCAAATAACACTCGTATTCCTGCGGCTTACAGATGGCCTGATTCACGAAGGCGAAAATCCAGTCTCGCAGATAAACATTCACATGAACAATGAGAAAAAAAACATTCGGGTATGGACCCGTTAGTCTCCTTCGCCACCCGATCTCATGCATTTATTTCAGTTAAAGTTAAATCTCCTGAATTTTAACTAACAATAGCGCAATGAGTGTAATTAGTAATTACAAACAAGGAAAAAATTTAATATTCCCCATTTTATCAAGAAATTCAAACAAAGAATACATGATGTTAAATTATATGTTAATTCAAGTTATTGATTAAATCAGAAATGTATTCACAGATTACATCGTAATAGACCGAAAGTAAACCCCGTATCACATACCAAAAACTCACATAAGAAATAAACGTTAAACAGTTGTTGCCTGTGACGTCATCTATACTTATATAATAAAGCTGAAGCTTTTGTTTATTTGAACACGTTAATCTCAGAAAGTACTGGTTCAAATTCAAAAAATCTTTTTGTGTTGGATAGTCTATGTATCATATCTACATATAGGCTATACAACATCACGCTACGACCATTAGGAGCGAAGTAGCAATGAAAAATTCGGAAAAACGGGAAAATTATTCCTCCTTTGACAGCTTCCGTTGCTTACGCTGCTTAAACGGTTAAAGTTACGTAAAAATCATGTATGACGAAATTGTTCCCCTCTAAAAGTTCTAAAGAAAAGTCCGCGACAGCATATGTCTATCTTTTAAGGTCGAGTCAGTATAACCTTTTTTTTATGGTAATGAAATTTGTTCTAAAATAATAATGCATTATGTATAAAATTCTCGCGTCACAGTGTTTGTAACCGAACTTCTCCGAAATGGGTTGACCGATTTGTATGAAATTTTTTATGTATATTTGGTAGGTCTGAGAATAGGTTGTAAACTATTTTTTGAACCCCTAAGTGATAAGGGTGGCCCACCCTAAAAAATTTTTGTCTATTTTTTGGACCAAATTTTTTATTTTTATTTTTTTAAGAATTGGCATCAAAAAATACACATAACCCTAAATTTTCACCTTTCTACCACCAACCCCCATTTTTTAATCGTTTATATAATAAAAATCAATTGCTGTTCTTGTTAGACTCAAAAATGGCTTGACCGATTTGAAGAATTTTTTATATTACGGGGATGGTTTATAAATTAAAAAAATAAGGAAAACTTAAAAGAACAGTTAAAAAATAAAAAAAAACTAAAAATTTTTGTATGGGAATCGCCACTTCGAATTAATTTCAATAGTAGATTAGTTTCTAACGGACCTGTCGTCTAACTGACGTGTCATACAAAACTAATTTTTCCATGCAATTGTGAAAAGTATATTGCATTTCAAATCGTTCTTTGTTTTTTCGTAAAAAAAACGTCGTTTATTTTAAGAAAAGTCTTGGTTAAAATGAATTTAATTACACATTGCGAAAGTTTCTTATTAATTTTGATCTGCCATTCTATTTACCTATATTCACTTTGTTGGTTTCGACAAAACCTCAAACTTTACCGTTATTCGAGGATTTAATTTGAAGTTTTCAATACTTTAAAATTCTCAAGACAAAATTTACAGATTTGATTGACTGTGAAAATAATTCTGTGTCGTTTTATGAAGTTTATTAAAATGCCGAGAAGACGACAACCTCACATAGGTCCACGAAGTCAATCAAATTTGCGACGAACTACCTCAGGTGCAAACCGCAATGATTTATTTCATGGGTAATTCGGATATGGAAGTTGATCAGCGTTGTGCTCATAATCAACATAATCAAACATTGAAGCGAGACATTGGGTGGTATGAATAAAACTGAGTAGAAACTAATATTCGAAGTACGAAGTACCTACTTCATTACTCTTATATACCTGAACATCTACTCTATGTACTGAGTACCTACTTGGAAACATTGTATCTCCCCGGACACAAATTGAACATCTACGCGTTTTGTGAGCATTTAATCTAAAAATGAGGATCGGCGTGGCAAATAACTGAACTGTCTGTAAAGCAGCTTAGAAAACGAGTAGGATCGTTGTAAGAGTGAATGTTAACTAAACACGGCGACTTTCATGAACGTGGAACGTCGTCAAAAGGTGCATTCAGTTTGAAAAACACATTAGGAGCAGGAATATCGAAAACTTTTCAGGTAATTAACTTTTGTTTATGCATAAATTGTGCAGTGCGTTTTTTATAACACTGGCCATACAGATTCCCATCTCAAGGTGTCTACCCCATACTAACTTATATTTTGGTGACTCGATTTTTGCTTTGATGGTTGAACACTGTTACTGTTGTCCTTTTTTGTTTTATGGAGATGCTACTTGAGCATCAACTGTTACCTACTGAAGTATTAATATCATCTAGAAAAACTAGAACTATTTTGATTTGATATTCGAGTAGATAATTCGTATTTCGAGTATGAGCATCTACTGAGTTTTATTTATATCAACCATCGTCAAAAAATTGATCGAACGTTGTTTCGACAGAACTTCCTTCGCACCAAAAGCATAATGAAACATATTCAGCATTTTCGAGTTGAGTCTTTTCTTCATACAATTTTGTGATGACCTAATCAACATTTACGATCAACACGTATACCACCTTGGATTGGTGCAGTGTAATACTAAAAATAACTGTATTGTATTCCTAAAATTATCTGCGAAAATCGAGTGAGCCATTCCATCAATTTTTTGGGGGCAATAAATAAATATACTTAACAATTTACCATGCTTACAATAACTTTAAAACGTCTGCAAGATCTCAAAGTATTCATTTTTGCAACTCTTGAGTTATTCAGTAATAGTTATTTACGTGGCAAGCTTAGTAAATTAGCCTTTACGGGCGAGCCGGAATGTTTGCAGGGCGAGCGACGTAGGAGCGAGCTCTGTAATCCGGTGAGCCCCAGTAAAGGCTAGTTGCAAGCGAGCCGCGTACAACGTTTTACTTCCTCTTGCTGAAAATCCTGAAAATGAAAAACTTTGGCATCTCTAGAAATTTTACTTGAAATTACAGTCATAGAAATTATAGTCATTTTTCATAGTTTGCTCCGGTAACTATGGAAAATTGAATTGTTTGAAAATAACGGGACTGTCAATTTGTAAATTCGATTAATAATTTAAATAGTTTAATTTTGTTTCTGAGCTCTGTTAATTGTGGAATTCGATGAAGATGAAGAGTTTGAAGGTGATTTTAACGTTAGTATTAGCACAGTATTAGTGAGATTAACAAAAAGGCCGACGTAGCGAATGTGTGTTTGATTCCGGTGCTGTCATGACCACGTTTTACAGGCACGGTGCCTGTAAAGCTGCCACGGTAACGCTTTACAGGCAGGGTGCGTGTAAAGGCTAATTTACCGAGTTAGTTCAGACGACAGTAAACGAGCTTTAACAAGACAAGAGGAAGTAAAATAAATTGACTGATCCATATATTTTTTTGAGTCACTGTAAAAGCAAATCTAAAAAATATCAATGCAATGATAAATTACGAAAATATACTGATGATATTTTCCACATTTTAGATAGGATTTATTCGGCAAAATCTTGAGATGACGTCTTCAAGTTTTTGGGCTTGATAAACAGATATATTTTGATTGAAAACCTACCATGTCAAACAGTAACTTCAAAACCTCTGCAATATTTCAAAATTCAGTTTTGCAATTCTTGATTCAATCAATAAAATAAATTGACTCAGTGATTAATTTTTTTGAGACACCCCCTATAAGCAAAACTAAAAAATATGAATGGAATGATAAATCGCAAGGACAGTCTCATCCTATTTTAGACATTTTAGATAGGATTCATTTGGCAAAATTTTGGGCTGACGTCATCAATTTTTTGGAAGGGATAAGTAAATATATTTTGAATAAAAATTTATTATGCTTATCATATGTTTAAAACATCTGCAAGATTTCAAAGCATTCGATTTTGCAGATTCAAAATTAAATTGTAGGTGAAACGAAGTTCACCGGGTCAGCTAGTATTAAAATAAATAAGTTCTGGGAGAAATAATTTAATTTTCATACAATTACACACGTATTTATTAATCATTAAATATGTATACAGAGCGGAAAATATTTTTATTGCTTTTAAATTTCCTACCATTAGGTGCATCTTATGAAAATAAAACAGTTTGTTGAGAAATTACTTCCTTTTTTATAAACGTATAAGAAAGATTTTTTACCAAGGCAGATCTGTTGACCTTTTTATCTCTGTACTCCTAAACTGAAACTCATGGACTATACTTCTTATCAGCCAGGTACCTGTAGGCAATGACAATCCTTATAATCCCCTGTTTGTGTGCAAGTGTCTTCTTGCCTTTTTGGTGACTAGACCTGTCACATGGGGTAAACTAACCGCGGCGCGCAAGTGACCAACCCCACGAAATCATTTTCTATATTCTCCGTTGTTCGTTTCTTCTTTTTCTATTCATAAAAATTCTTCCATGTCTACATTATTGTTCCTACTCGGCCATTTAGGTTTCCCATTGTTATCATACTTTCCTCGCTCTCATATGCTGCTTTTAGCAGTTCGCCACGGAAATCTTTAGTTTCTTATGTTGCATCTTCGTTTTCTGCATATGCTATTATCATTGTCCACTGCCTTCGTCAAATTCTTCATTTATATCTGTCATCTTCCTTCATGTATATAGTCTTCTTTAATTATGCCCTTTTAATTTACCTGCTGTTGTTATTAATCCTACCCCTTCCTTAGCACTTTCTTTTTGATATACTCCTGATCAGAACAGCCAATATCGTTTATTTATTCTTGTCATAATTCTTTCTTTCTTTTTGTTCTACAATTCCTAGTATCTCTTTATATTATATTATTTTCTCTACTAATTTTTCTTCATTTTCTTTTATACTTATTCGAAGTTCATATCTTCTTCTTATTCTTCTCATACAGGGTGTTATTGAAAGGTACGTACAACAAAATTGACAGTTATTCGCGAAGTCTAAGAAATTTGAAAAACTTATTTTGTGTTATCAAAATTATAAAGGGAAAATTAACCCTTATCCAACCTTTTTAGACGCTACTGAAGGATAGATAAGTAAAATTAATTTATTTTAGTAAATCCTAGCAACTGTAACAATAAAACTTTTGTCAAGACTGTTGCTATAGAAACGAAAGATGATCTTTTTATCAGAGGCGTACTACGAATTTGGACATAAATTTTAATAATTTTTATCTCTAGAAGGAGAACACTTTTACCTGAACTTTTTTTTTACTTTTAGTCCCCATACTTCGAGACCAATTGCCGATTTTATTTTGTACGTACCTTTCAATAACACGCTGTATATATAAAAATCTCGTGTCACGATGTATGGAATCTACAAAACCGAATGCTTTGAAATCTTGCAGATGGTTTAAAATTATGATAAGCATGATAAAATTTTAATAACAATATATTTACTTATCCCCTCCAAAAGATTGATGACGTCAGCTCAAAAGTTTGCCGAATAAATCATATCTAACATGTACAAAAAATGATGAGTCTGTACTTGTGATTATGATTCCATTAATATTTTTTGGATTTGCATTACAGGGTGACTAAAAAAAATGAATGCGTACATTTATTTTATTGATTTAATCAGGAACTACAAAACCGAATGCTTTGAAATCTTGGAGATGTTTTGAAGTTATCATAAGCATCGTAAATTTTTTATCAAAATGTATTGCTCATCCCCCCAAAAAAATTGATGACGTCACCCCAAAATTTTGCTGAATAAATCCTATCTAAAATGTACAAAAAATGTTGTGATTTATCATTCCATTAATATTTTTTGGATTTGCGTACAGGGTGACTCAAAAAAAATATCATTGCATTTCAGAAGCGAGAGAAGTTCTGTCGAATTAACTTTTGACCAATTTTCTTGTTTTTTCTTGCACTGGGAATGCGCTGTGACAATTTTTCTTTTGTGCTGTGAAAAACGCACGTCTTTATAGGTATAATAATAATAAAATAAGAATTATAATTTTGTTCGGTTGTGGTTTAATAATTTTAGTCCTCTGTTTTGAGAAGACAAACTCATTCAAATCAATAGAGAAGTATGCATTTTGCAATTACGCTCCGCCCCTCGGCCTAACAACGAATGAAAAGTTCATCACAATTGAGATCGGGGCGGGTGGGTGGGGCTTAATCTTGTTTTTTTTTAATATATAAAATTTTCTTGCAACAACAGGATGGTTAAACATATTGTCAGTTTCTTGTTGGGAAAAGAAGACTTCGTATATTAAAAAATGGACCAAATATATGCCCCGCCCGCCCACCCCTTCTCAATTGTGATGAAAGCTTTATTCATCGTGAGCTGAAGGGCGGAGTTTAGTTGCAAAATCCTCATTTCTCCACAAGAAATTGTCATGTGAAATATGCTTTTAAAACGATAGAATTTTCTAGAGATAAAATATGTTACAATTAAACTTCGCCCCTCGTCTGATTAGGAATGAAAAACTCTTCACAACTGAGATCGGGGCAGGTGGGTGGGGCTTAATCTTTGTTTTTTTTATACATAGTTTTCTTTCAACAATTTTTTGTCCCAAAGAACAAGAGATATAATAGAAAACATAAAATCACTCTATTATTCAATAATTTTGGACTGTACTCCTAATGTAAGTCCCGTAGAATACGTGTACTTTCGCGTTTTTCTCGAAAAACTAAAAAATCTAAAAATTGAAAAATTAAAAATTGAAAACTCGTGAAATTTCAAATCGAAAAACTGAAATGTCCAAAAGTTGGAAAATCGGAAAACTGGAAAATTTAAAAATGCAAACTCGAAGAGATATCGTAAAATTAGAGAAAAAAGAACAAAAAATTGTAAATTGAAAAACTGAAGAAACGAAAAATTGAAAATACAAAAAATTATAAAATCGGAACATTGAAAAATTGTAAAAATAAAGAAAATAAAAAACTAAAACGAAAAATTGCAAATGCAAAAATTAAAAATTGAAAACTCGTGAAACTCAAGTCGAAAAATTGCAAAATCTAGAAATTGAATCTAAAAGTTGAAAAATTGGAACATTAAATTTAAACTTGAAAATTCGGAAAAATGAAGAAAAAAAAATGAAAAATTGAAAAAAATTCAATCAAATCAGCTGCGGGAATGTTATTTACGCCCCTGGTTTTTACTTTATAGAAGTTAGAAAACAAAAATCGCAAAAAAAATATAATTTTTCAGAGAAGTGGGAATTATTTGGCTGCACTTCATGGGCGAGGGAAGTTCTGTTGAAATAACCTTCGACCAATTTTTTGGTACTTAATATCAATTTTTCTTGTCTTCCTTCTTTGAATATTCATTATTATATATTGTTTTTTGCATTGCAATTGGTTTATTTATAGTTATTTGCCATTATGTCGCATTTCTTCCGCATCTAATCAATCTTGCACTTTTTTGGGTCCTATTTTGACTTCTACTTTTACTCCTGTTTTTGTATGATGAAAGTTTACATTGCGTTTCTTAGTTCTTCTCTGTTTTTTGCTTCTTTGTTCAATCCGCTTACGTATTCTTCTTTTAACTGTTTATTTTCATTTCTCAATGTCATGATTTTCTCTTGACACTTGTGGTCTTGTTTTATTTCTCTTATTTCTCATCAACTCCATCATCTTTTCTGTCAATTTGCCCATTTTTCCGTTCTTATTCCTTCTTATTGTTGTTAGCTTTTTGCTCCTATCATCCTGTTGTTTAATATCGTTTTTTCTTTTATTATCGTCAAATGCGTATCCATCCATATCCATTATTTAAATACATAAATATCTTTCTTAGTTTATTATTATTTTTACTAAACATTGTTCCAAAAATGATGGAAAAACTCGATGCTACGTTGTTAGGTAGATCAGGAGAACTCGAAAAAAAAGGTTAAAAAAATCCCTACATCAAACTTTTCCTAATATTAAACTTCAAATTTGAAGAATGAACTTCGTAATTCTGATTTGTTTTAATAAACTGCGCGTCTAATAGACAGTTAAGTAATTAGTTATTAATAGTTTAATAATAATTTGCTAGAATGCGGGCCACGTCATTTTTTTACTGTTGGCACATATCATTTTCGCATTAAAACATATCAGAATTACGAAGTTAATTCTTCAATTTTGAAGTTTAATATTTTCAAAAATTTGGTTCAGGGATTTTTTAACCATTTTTCAAAGCCGTACCGTCGAGCTTTTCCGTCATTTTTGAAACACCTAATATAAAATTTTGATTTGTTTCTCCAAAAATCAGGATATCCAAACCACAAACATAATATTATGTTATTTTATAAAATTCAAATGATAATTACTAAACAAAATTTTAAGGTGACGTCATCAAATTGTTCTCAAAATATGTATATAAAAAAATTTACAACAATCAATCCAGTAGTTTAGGACTAATAAAATAACCACTGGTAAAAGACAGACGACAAACAAAACCCAGTTGAAGTGTACGATAATTAAAAATAAAAACAGGCACATATTCATACGTTCAAAATCAAAATAATCAATTTCAAACAGGTCCCTCCAATCAATCGATCAACACTTCACCAAATAAGTCTGCATTAATATCACCTCCAAAGTCACGAAGAAAAACAAAACTCAAACCGGACTTGAAACTCAAATGTGGAGCTTGCGGCAACGTTGGACACATGAGGACAAACAAAGCGTGTCCTCTATATCAGAACAGTGGTTCAAACGCTCCGATGAACGTAGCGATGACTGAAGAACAAGAAGAAGAAATTGAAAAGCAGTTGAACACGGATGATGAAGATCTTGTCAATATTGATGGTACTAAAGTTAAATTATCGAGTAAATTGTTGAAGGTTTGTGGTTAATTTGGAATCGGTGTAAACACTGACCACGTTTGCTTTGACAGCACGCGGAAGAAATTAAACGACGTACGTTGCTGCTAAAAGTGCCGAAAGAAGCAATGAGTGCTAAAAGAAGACGACGTGGAGTTTCTGATCTCCACTGTGATTATCTGAGGCGTCATAATAGGCCCGCTAATAGGCGACGAACTGATCCAGTGGTTGTTCTTTCCACTATACTGGAGAATATTTTGAATGAAATGAGAGATATGCCAGATGTGCAGCCATTCTTGTTTCCAGTCAACCCCAAGGTAAGGAGTAATGTGTTTTACTATCCAAAGGGTTATTGTTAAAAAAAAATTCTTGTAGAAAGTTATGGATTATTATAGAATTGTTCATAGACCTATGGATTTGCAAACAATCAGAGAAAATTTACGACAAAAGAAATATCAGAGTCGTGAAGAATTTTTGGCTGATGTGAATCAGATTGTTGAGAATTCAACTTTGTACAATGGTAAGAAAGTGACACATTGTCTATTAAACACGATAACTGACATGATTTTTAGGAGCTAAAAGTAGCTTAACGGTGGCCGCCCAACGTATGTTGAATAAGTGTGTCGAACGTTTAGGAGAGAAAGAAGAAAGACTAATGAAGTTAGAAAAGGCTATTAACCCATTGTTGGATGATAATGATCAAGTTGCGTTGACCTTTATTTTAGATAATGTGATAAATACAAAATTGAAAGCTATGTCTGAGTCTTGGCCGTTCCTTAAACCAGTCAATAAAAAATTGGTGAAGGACTATTACAGTATTGTAAAACGACCAATGGACTTGGAAACAATCTCGAAAAAAGTGGCAGGTATGTATTTAACACTAATTTTCGGACTAGAATTAAATATGACTTTGTATAGCACACAAATACCACAGCAGACATGAGTTTTTGATAGACATCGAACAAATTCTGCAGAACTGTATCTTGTATAATGGCAGGGACTCATCTTTCACTGATAAAGCAGAACAGTTGGTTAAAATTTGTAAAGCTACGTTAGACGAGGTAAGTTTATTTTAACGTTTGTAATTTTACAAAATTTAAAAATATATTCATAGTATGACGAGCATTTAACCCAACTGGAAAATAAAATATCTCTGGCACAAGAAAGAGCAATGCAAGATGATGATCAGGCGTGGATGGGCGGTGAAGAGGAAAATTACACAATTGCAGAACCGGATAGAATTGTAACAACGTCAAGAGTTTCGCAGTTTACATAATTAAATATGTGTTTTTAGAGCCAAGCAAGTTCACCTGATCAGAGTTCTTTCATAAAATCCAACATTGACGATTACGATTATGTGGACGTTGAAGGAGGCATTCAAACCAGTGAAGATATTGCAGCATCCGTGCCAAGACCCAAAAAACGAAAAACCAAAAAAGATGATGCTGCTATACTGGAAGAAGGTGCGATTCTTGAACAACCACAAACTAAGTGTGTAATTTTTTTTTTTATAGATTTGCAGTTCTCGAGTGAAGAAGAATTAGATGAAGTTCCTTTACATGAGTTTGAAGATAACAAAGGAGGGCTTGTTATTTCCGCTGAAATGCCTATGGAAACTGTTAACGCTGACGATGACAGTCAACAAGCAGCAGAAGCGATGGTACAGTTGGGTTCGATGGGTTATTACCAACAGAATGAAGGAGAAGCGGCTGATCTAGTTTACAAAGGTACTACTTGAATTTTATATTTTTTGTTATTATAAAAGGTCTGTTTGCAGAGGAGAGCATGGATGTAGATCCAAATTATGATCCTTCAGATTTTCTAATGTCGGGACTGCCACTACACAACAAAGATGATATTAAAATAGATGAAACAGTCTTACAGGGTCAGGATTCTGGTATGAAAATCCATGATGATCTGGCAGTTAGTGATAGTGAAGACGAAGGACCAAATGTTACTGATGTGCCTATTCAGGAGGAAGATGACGGAGGCGATCTTTGGTTTTAAAAATGCTATGATTTTATGTAATTTGAGAATGATTTTATTGATTGTAAATGTACATTTTTTGATAGTAAATATTTATTGTAGATATTAAACATATTGTAAATTTAAATCATAGTTGTATATTTATTTGGCGTATTACCCAGCGACTAGTCCCGAAGATGCCTGTCATTCAGTTTTTTGTCTACAATTTGTTATAGTATTTTTAATCTTCGAGTTTTGATGTCATAAGTTTTTGGCTGATGACCGTCACAAAAATTGCCTCTTAGGTCCTGCACCTGTGAAGAGCCGCTTCTTGTAATGAGAAGGGTAATTTAAAACGCGAGACGGATCGCTCCAAGGTAATCTATTAATAATATACACGTGATACAGGTTATCTAAGACATTACGAAATGATGGCACGTTAATTGTTATTTAAGTAAAAGAATGTAAAGACGTGTTAACATTCGAGGTAAGCGAATACGAGTCGAGGCTTCTCGCTTGCCGAGGATGTTAACAAGTCTGTAGATTCCGTGTTACTTATTTTGTTTTCCCCACTGCCGGTGAAATTCCCTTAAATCTGCATAAAATTTACGTTTTTTCTATGTTGCGAAATACAAAAAATTCAAACTAGGCAAAAATATTCAAAAAATGTTATCAGAAATCCAAAAATGGATATTAATAAAGCTGCTATTAATCTTCTCAAGAATTTGCTACCTAATAAATCAAGAGCGAGGTACGAATTTACGTACAAGTCTTATTTTAAAATTCGTAGAAGACACTGCAGATGAAACTTATCTTTTAATCAAGGTAAGTCTTCTTTTTTATTCATTATTAAAATTAAACTCGATTTTTTATTTGTTTTAGACCGTTATGTCAGCGGGCATCGCAGGGGCACGCAGATCAGACGAATTCTGTAAAATGGAAATGGCTAATGTTACTGACCATGGAAAATACGTAATTATAACGGTACTCCAAAAATGAGGTTATACGAAAATTCACGATTGTTGAAAATCTTGAAAGTAAGGCAGATTATCTAAAAATTTTCAAAAAGTATTACGAAATTCGGAAAAAGAAAATGCTGCAACCAGCCTGTAGGAAAGCATACTTTCGCAAAGATGCCATCGGTTATTGCGCGGTTTTTAAATTTACCAGACGCCAATTCATACACTGGACACTGCTTTAGGCGTTCCTCCGCCACTTTACTGGTTGACTCTGAAGAAGACATTTTTGACCTAAAAAGACATGACGGTTGAAAATCGTCTACAGTAGCCGATAATTATGTAGCAGAGTCAGTTAAGAATAAATTAGATGTTGCCAATATAATATTATACAATACAAGAAAAATCCTGATAACGTAAAAAAAATCCTGTACCTTCAATAAGAGTTCTTCAAGCGCCGTTACCGTCAATTTCTCAAACTGTTGTCGATACTCGGACTTTTGCGACACCGGAAATACCTAGGTACTGAAATACGATGTCCTCCAGCGCCTCCGGCAACAATGCAAACCACTACGAAGCTATTAATGTATTATAAAAAAAAAGATGTGTCGTGGGACACCAGGTAGGAACGAAGTTCCTTCGGCTAATGTAGAATCGACACAATTTGCAAAAAAAATCGTGCTCAATTTTATGTAGGTTTTCTTGATTTTTCTCTTAAATTTTGCTGATTAGTTTTTATTTAAGTACAAGAAAGTATTTAGGAAATTCAGTATTTTAGGAAATAATAAATTACGTAAAATAGGTAGAATTATCAAAATATATATATATTTAAATGTTTGGAATTGAAGGGAGAATTTGTTTTAATTATTTAAAAAGGGATGAGAGAACGAAAAGAAAGAGGGAGAAAGAGAAAGGTATTATTATCCACTACTCGCTTGTGTATACGACTGTCGCGCCTGCGCACGTCTCATTTAACGGTTTTATTCCACGGACTTTTTTCCACGGACTTTTTCTTACGGTTTTACTATCACATTTGTTTCAGTTCGGTCGCGCAGCAAAATCCCTATCTCCTCCAAGCCTGCCGTAAGGTACTTCGTTCCAAAAATTATAATTTTCGCATTGTAATTTTGTGTTTAATTTTAACAAAAATTATAATTAATATAAGAGTATATTAAGAAAGAGAATAAACTATCAAATTTCTGATTTACTGTCATTATATTCCTAGGAATTGTGTTCTACTAATGAATAATGTTGCAGTATTTTAACTAATATTCATTTAGTGTGCGATGCATCAATGAATAAACTCTGCAAAAAATGTCTGATATGGAATCGGCGAGAATTTTTTGTTCATTTTTCGTGTTACGCAAAGGAGTTCAGTCGCAGTCGGTTTTGATTTTGTCGACGGCGTGTGAGCTCTGTAAATAAGTTTGTTTAAGTGGTTTATTTTTGTTAAAAATAATTTGGTTTCGGATTGAAGTGAAAGGTGAGTGTTGTAATGTGCCCATGAGGAAGGAGTTTGCGAGGATCGGCGCGAAAGGAAAGGAAACCAGGATTTAAAGGGTAATTGTTGCTGTTACGCTTTATATAAGTATATCAGTGTATTATTCAATGCATTGTGCCTTATTTCTTCCAGTTCTTTTATTCTAAATTCATATACGAATACGGACGTTAAGGGAGAAGTAGCTGTATTGTACAAACCGTTACTCAATAACTAAGAAATATGTTTATTTCAACAAGAACTCAAACGTTAAAATCTCGTCAGATTTTTTTCTTTGTTTATTCTTTAAAACTGGCCTTCTTGGCTGAAATAATTTGGAATATTTATCAATGTTAATTGTTTAAAAATTAAATCCGATTTTGATTTTTATCTTATTACAATGTAGAAAAAAAACAAAGGCTATGAGGGATTTGAACAAGTTTGAGGTCGGCACTTTAACTTATACTTGCCAATATAAGACTGATTTTGCCAAATGATATACCGTCTACCCTTTATTTTCTTATTAGAGGATATGCATTTCATTTGCCAAATTCAGTCTTATCTTAGCAAATACTAGACCCGCCCACCCGTGCTTTATTTTCTTAGGGAGTAGGTCATTTGCCAAAATCAGTCTTATCTTGGCAAGAACTAGACCCGCCCACCCGCCCTTTATTTTCTTAGAAAGTAGATCATTGCCAAAATCAGTCTTATCTTGGCAAAGTACTGCTTGTGGTTTATGAATCCGTCTTGAAGTTTTCCCCTAGGCATCAACACTTTCGCAAAAATTCTAAACAGGACCAGTTAAAGTGCCGATCTCGGACGTGTTCGAATCCCCCATGGCCCTTTTTTTCTTACGCTGTCACTGCCATTATCTATATTTTTACTTCTCCATTCTAAGTTAAGAAAACATTGTAATAGAGTCCATTGAGCGACTGGCTACTTTCAGGTGTTGTTGACGTTTCATGCTCCTAGAGTAGGTATCTGTGTCGATTATAATTGGACAAATAATCTCCAAAACTACTAGATCGATTGTTGACAAATTTTTTTAGTAAACGTCAATTAAATTTTCCAAAATAACGTACATCTATACTTGTGGTTTATGAATTCGTCTTGAAGTTTTTCGCAAAAATTCCAAACAGGACCTGTTAAAGTGCCGACCTCGAACTTGTTCGAATCCCTCATAGCCCTTTGGTTTTTTTCGTACATTGTAACTATGATCGTCTATATTTTTACTTCTTGATTCTAAGTCAAAAAAGCATTATAATAGGGTCCATAAAACGACTGGCTACTTTCAGGTTTTATCGACGTTTCATACCCCTAGACTATCTGTGTCGATTATTGTTGGATAAATAATCTCCGAAACTACTGGGCCGATTGTTGTCAATTTTTTTAGTAAACGTTAATTAAATTTTATAAAATAACGTACTTCTATTCTTGTGGTTTATGAATCTGCCTTGAGTTTTCTGTTGGGCATCAAAATTGTCGCAAAAAATCCTATTATCTAGAGTGTAAACTAGGAAAATAAATTAGTCATCAGTATTATATTATATTTTGATTATACGAACTAGGAGTGTTTAACTTACCTGCCTTGAATTTTTAGATAGGAATTTTAAAATTCAAAACTCACTCACTACGGACTTTGTATCAAATTTTGTTGTCACTAATAATAGCTTACGTTTAGCATTTAAATTGAAAATAGTGGTCTTCAATGTTTGAGTTTATTAGGGAGGATTTGTTGAAGTTCTTAATTTCGAAACTTATTAATGTACCAGGGTTATTTTTATTAAACTTTCATTTCTTATTTTCTGAACATTCCCCAGTTTACGGAGTGAAAACATCGATTTTCCATTTCCGTCTACCTGTTTGTTAGCGTTTTTTTATGCAAATATTCTCCGAAACTCTTTCTTTGGTGTATTTTGAGTCTGTTTTGTAGATTTTTTTCTGTTCATCTTCACCAAGAATCGCGTGATGTAAATGTAAAATTTTGCTTAGAATTTATATTGTGATTTCAAAACTGTTTCTGATTATTATTACTTTTTGAATCTTCTCTATTTATTAAACCTGTGTAATGTCGAATTGCACCGTTATTAAAAATTAGTATGTATAAAATTGATAATATCTTCTACCTTAATTTTCTTTGTGTACAAATTTCATATGTTTTTTATTGCAGTGGGTTCGTAAATGAAGATGAGGGGATTCGCTACATTGTAGCAGAAGAAGAAGCCTGAAAAGGTTGGAATTTTGCATTCATTTTAAATTGGGGGTTGTATTTTTTTTATCTTAATGAAGGTTGTTTTGATTGGTAATTTTGTCTTATTTTTATTTTATCAAGTATATTGATTCTGTTTACAATCTATTTTAAATATTTCATTAAATTATATGTAAAATAAAGTTCGCCGGTTTTTTCACCGGCCAACGAAACGACTACAAAAGACCTTTGCTGCGTATCAATTCAGCTTTATTTTAACTTCTGTTTTTAGATTAATATGCAGATATAAAGTTTTTAAAATATCGCTGTTCTAAGTGATCAATTTTTTTTCATGTATGATAACTTCATCTACTGTTTCCTTGACACACGTTTCTATTTTCTTTATTTAAACGTCAATCTATTAGACTGTGTCAAGATAAACTCGTTTTGGATTTAAATTTTACAGAATTTTTCGATTCTTGATTTATCCGATTTTTGTTTCCACATTTTTTAACACACTTTTCTGTCTTTAATTAAAATTCTTATTTTATAAATAAGATCTCATAATAATAAAAGATAGTTATTTTTTTAGTTAATAAATTAACTGAAGGAATTTTATTATATATTTTTTCCCTCTCTCATTATTATCCCTCTCCCCTGAAACGCAGTATATCCTGAAGTACAACAAAACATCCCTAGCTTTTTCGAAAACTTTTAAAATTTGATTTTAGGAATTTTATTTTTATAAAAACTCCCATAAGTTAAAATAAAGATATGGATGAAGTGATGAAAAAGGTGCTATGTATATGTTTTAAGTGAGTTTTTCCCTTACAAAAGTTTGTGATTAATATGTCATCAACATTTTCTCAATTACGCATATCAATTTGGATAGAGATTAATAAGGACATTGTATTTCCAAAATTTCGAGAAAATGGAGTGAGTCGTTCTTGATTTTATCAATAAAATGACGTAAACTCTAGCTTTTTTTCTAGCAACTCATATTATTTATGGCTTATGAGTTTGCCTTGATTTTTACGATGGACGTGTGGATTTCTTAGAGAACTGAGCTCTGCTCGCGTTAGTTCGATCCCATCCTCGTCGACATTTTTGTAGTACATTGAATTTCTTTGAATATTTGTCTTCAGGTGCGAAGGAAGTCCTTTCTAAATGCCTTTAGACCAATTTTTTACTATTAAAAATCATTTTATGTATTATAATGGCACCCACCTAACTTCTGTAAGACGGGATGATCGGAGACCATCGGCCCATTAGCTCAGTTGGTTAGAGCGTCGTGCTAATAACGCGAAGGTCGCGGGTTCGATCCCCTCATGGGCCAATTCTTTTTTTTTGTCTTCCAATTTGACTGGTAAATATCATCTATTTTTTTTAAGGTTTTGCTTGACTATACTTCAGGAAGTTCGGTCCAGGGTTGTAGCTTAGACCAATTTTTAGCAGTTATCTTTGTATTAAAAGTTTTAAAATTTGCCAATTTTGACAGATCAGTCGGTAACTGTCAAATTAATTTTCAAGGGCTTTTATTTCAATGTCATGTCAGTGTGACATAAAAGGTGTAAAAATTCAAAAATTAGATAGAATGTAACAAATAAATGAAAACGTAAAATGCATTCCATATTTTGCAAATAATAAACCCCCTAGGAAACGAAATGGAAGGTAGATTCAACATTTAGGTTATCTTATTAATTTTGATGAACTCTCTTGCAGATCAGTTGAAATACGAGCTGGGCATATTAATTTTCGTGTTAATCCTAGCTAGAATATTGTATTTAATTCATAAAATAACAACTGGTTTTAGCAGAGAAGCCACATCGAAAAGGACTTTACCATGTAAAACAATCGTTTGTATTGGTTCAGGTGGGCACACCACAGAAATGTTAACTCTTCTAAATACTCTCACTTTCTCAAAATATTCTCCAAGGTATTACTTTATGGCAAAAACGGACACAACAAGTTACGCAAAAGTAAAAACTCTGGAGAGTGTTAAGAAACAAAATGATTCCTACAAAATTTTTGAAATACCCCGAAGTCGAGTGGTTGGTCAGTCATATTTAACATCAGTCTTTACAACGCTTTACTCAATATTATACTGTATTCCGTTGATTTTAAAAATTAAACCGGAGCTAATTTTATGTAACGGGCCAGGGACATGCATTCCAATTTGTTTAATAAGTTTTTTATTAAAAGCTGCCTTTATTTTAGACACAAGGATAGTTTTTATTGAGAGTTTTTGTAGGACACAAACATTTTCACTAAGCGGGAAGATTTTAATGTATTTTGCAGATAATTTCCTGGTTCAATGGCCGAGTTTAAAACAAAGGTTAAAAAGAGCAGAATATATTGGACAATTAATGTAAACAAAAACTATTTATTAATAAAATAACAATACTAAAATCCATACTTTGCACGTGTTTGATTTCGAGCAAATTTATTTGCAGACCACTGAGTTTGCAATTCTTGTTCATTTGCTTTAGCTTGTTCAGCTAAATACGTGATGTGGTGCTTCTTCTTGCGCGTTGGATCTACCGGGTCTTCGACAGCGTTCTTTGGGGCTTGATCAGGATCAGTCAAGGATTTTGTCATCCAAAAGTTGTTATCTGCCACAATTTCTTCTTCATTTATGTCAATAAGTTTTATATTGACTGGACGTTTGGCTTTACCAACTAATTCTTTAAACGCCGCGTTATCTAAACCATCATAGGGTTTAACTGGTTCTGGGGCAATATTTATTGCTTCTGTGTTGACAGTGGGCTCTACTCTTTCAACGACTTGTGGTTTTATTTTAGATTTTGGACCACACACTTTCTGCCACACTTCGTCATCAAATGTCTCTGGTACTTCTATATCATCATCACTTTCAGCATCACTGCCTTGTGCAGTAGCGCTTGTTATTTTTTTTATTGTAGCCTTTTTTGTTTCTTCTGCCTTTTTCCGAACGGCGTGTGGAATAAGGCTGTTGGTTTTCTTATCAGAAACTGGAGGTTTATTCTTCAGAACATTGGGTATAAAACTCTTGGTGCTTAGTGGTGAACCCCTTACTGGAGGTAACACTGATAATAAGCTGCTACCCTTCGAAGAGACTTTTCGTCTTTTCTGTTCTGGTTCATCATCATCTTCATCATCGAATTCAGATAGTGCTGGTATTGTAATTTTGACTTTTTGTGGTTTCTTTTCTTTTGTTGAAGATGGTGGTTGATATTTTGGTATAAAATCTTCTAGCTTGTCCTCTGTTACATTTACTGTTTTTTCCTTGGTAGTTTCTGGCAGATGTGACAAGATTTCAGGTAATTTTTCTGTTGTTACATCTTCATTAATACCACTCTTGTCACTGAAATTCTCGCCAACATTTTGTGTGATGTTTTTATCGTTGAGATTGCCGTTTTGTGTATTTACAGAACCAGTGGGTTTATTATTAAGAACAATGACTGCAGAATCACTTCCTTCATCTTCGTTCTCACTTCCACTGTCGTAATCATATGCCACCAGAGCCATTGTAAGGTACTTCCTATAAAAAAAAATACGAATTAATTGAAGTGAATTATAAGAATTAATAATAAATATTTCTACTAACAGTTTTTTTCTACATATAAATAAAAATATTTACTATATTGACATTTCGAGGACAACAAAACCATATGTGACATATATAGGTTAGATTCTTGTTGTTGGGCTTATTGAAGTAACTGATAAGAAGTAACATGATGACCTTTGTTCTTTCTTAAATTTATACAATTACACAGCAAAAGCGATAAACATTAGTTAGTATCGTTTTAATTTCTTCTTCAACATGATTAAGGTGAGTTACCTGTAAATTTAGCAATATTAACCTATTTTTGAAAAATTTTGTTTTGAGAATTTATTGGTTCGCATGGTTTTTTAATAATTACTGACCAAATATGAAGAACTGAAATCACATAATTTTGTGACAAGTCTATACCTTCGTACTAAATATTTCCAGGAGTAAAGGGACTTTCTAACGGAATTAACCAACAATGTTTTTGACTGTTCTTGTGTATTTTTTAGGTTATGTTATTGTTAATCGTTACGTAATTGTATTTACTTTACGTGATTTATTACAAGTGGAAAGATCTTTACTTTCGAAATATATAGCTCTAAGCGAGCTTTGCAAATTATATTTCATAACATGTTGATGCATAAACGGGATATATTTTTTAATTTGAGTATATACAACCCAATGTACACAGATTAATTTGAAATTGCCTATACCGAGTTGTGAAAGCTAGAGAAGTCACAGAAGCTCTGCGCCTAAAAAACTCAAGACGCAACCAGAAATACAATTTGAAAACATCTGAAATTTCATACCAGTTTAAAAAAATTCTATCTCCATGATCAAAAGTTATTTCGACAGGATTTCGGATTCGTTATTTTATAAAATTTAAATCCTACTTATGTCTGGTAGAAATCTGGACAGACGGCAGACAGACAGACGGAAATGGAAGATTACTATCATGAATTTATTTGTTTTTGTAACCCAAAATTGACGTTTATTTCCAAATTATCAAAACCAAGGGGCTAACCATGGAGCTAATATTCTACCACCACGGGGCTAACAAATGTTTTACTTTAAAAAAATATATTATAAAAAGAATTTTTTACGCGAAGAACTTCTAGTAAATAACCCTATATTATGTAATTATAATTGAATGACGGTGTAAGATTTTCGTAGGATTTGTAATAATTGCTTTATTAATTCGAAGGGTGCACAGGTAAAACAAGGAATTTCATTGTTAATTCAAAAATTACTCATCTATGACAATATTTACATTATCTCGACTATTTTTATCTATACTAAGAAAAAACATACAAAACAAGCACAGTTCCCAAAAATATTGATATTACTCTACCTCATTTAACCTTAGAATTACCGATTTTTTTAAATGTGTATTAAAAATTATAATTTGTTTAAGAGTTTTTATGTCTTAACTTGATTATGAATATTGTGACGTATAAGATAGTTCTTACAAAAGATCTTAGAAGAACAATGATAACTTTCAAAAATTAGACTGTTAATTATTTAAACTTTTGTTTTTGTGGCGCCCTTTGTTTTACTCGTAAACCCTCATACACATTGTGATAACCCAAACTTCCCGCCTTAAAATTTGACCTTGAAACAGTGAAAGGCCCGCGAAAAATTCAAAGTTTGGCCTTGGCTGTGATCGTCTAACAAATGAGAACCTACGTTGTGTGTTTTTTTTTTGTTTTGAAAAATGGCGGGAAGAAGTTCTTTCATACAAGTGCATACACTGTCGAGAGCGCAAGAAATAATTAACAGAAATTGTTTTGGAGGGGGGGAAACGGCACCACCCTCACAGGGGGAAATACGCTGCGAAGATTTACCCCTCAGCGCAAAAACCCCCTTGGTTTTATTCCCGGACGACATTTTATTACATTTCAAAACCCTTAAGATATTTGAAAGAAAAACACTCGCGGATTGACAGACATACACATATGAAAACCGAACAAACACAAGACCTACACATATGTAAATTGGATGGCAGAAACCGAATCATTATGAGAGTGTGGCGATCGAACAAACATAGAACAAAATATATCAATTTCATTTACGAGCACAGCAAAATACCCAAAGGGGGCGTGTAGCGCAAGCAGAGTTTGGGACTCCTGATCGTCACTGTTCTCCCCCACGACGGTGATTCTATCTACACCAACGCCTGCTCACACGCATCTCTCCATTACGAACGTGCCCTGCGAAACGAGGCGGTTACGATCGCAGATCCGTAGTGGGGTCCCGGCTATCACGAAACCGGCAGCGTTAAAAACCCGCGATCGCCCCCTGAAGCTATACAAAACCCGCGGACTTGTGCAGGTGACGCGATTGATCCCGTCAGTTTGAGAAGAAGTCGCGCGCCCCACGTACACTACGAGTTATGTGTTGTTTACTTCAATTTCATTTAAATGTTCAATCTCTATGACTCTAATATTAAATTACAACCGAACAAGTGTTAAAGTTTCAACCAAGAGCAATAAACAACATTTAAATTCGCCATACACTCTTACGGAAATTCAACAACAAATAATTCTTAATTGAGATCAAAACTGGACATCAGATAATTTGCAGGACAAAGACATTCATCAACAAAATATTTACATGAGCAAAACTTAGCAAAGATTTATAAAATAAAGATCTGGTGTGAAATAAGCTTGTACAAATTAAATATCATGTTAGGTCAGAACTGCAGAGCATGGAAATTTACGTTCAATTCAAATTATACAGCAGAGAAAATTACGGAAGCTAAAATTGTGAGACAAAGACAAATTGCATGAGGTGAAAGATTGTAAAGTTAACAGATTTACATGTGATTAATATTAATTCGTGTCCAGTCAAGTTATTAGTTAAAATTCAAACGTGAAATTATTCAGCTACATTGTGGGCCATTATTACACATACATTTCCCCAAACAAAACACATAAACAAACATGGCAGACAATCTGCAGATCCAAAATGGCGTTGGACGAATTCGTCATTCCAAATAATAGGCGTCGAAAATATGCGATGCAAAAATACGATGAATCCTGTGGCGTTGTATAAACGATGTGCTAAATCCAAAGAATAAAGGCACGTCCCCCCATGACCCACAATGTTGTTATTTTGTTCAATAGATTCAGTTAAAACATGTGCTCGATTAAAAGAAACAAATGGACGCTTCAAAATGGCCGCAGCCTGAACAAAGAACGGTGAGAATAACAACTCGTTTGCCGCCATCCAAAATACAGATTTCACAAATATAACTAAATAAAGTATGGCCCGAACTAGAAATCACTTCCTGTAAAGCCCTACTGCGATGGATTTTAAATGAAAGATAAAAAAACGAGATTAGTGGAAAAACAAGCGCACGCGTCGCTACGTCACGAGGTCAGAAGTATCGTCGGGACTTGAAACTCGCCGCCAAACAGGATCCAGTCCAAAACGTGTTCAAAACATACCTCTCCAAAGATGCGAAGATTTCGACACGGCTTACCGCCAACAGGAACACAAAACCTCGTCGTAAGAACGATGGGAAATCAGGAACACCCAATGGCTCAACGGGGGCTGCTAGATTTTCCAATGGAACGGACCAACACTGGAAACGCAAAAACAACAGCAAAAGGCACAGAATAATTCACAATCAAAAATACAACCTGTTGCTCGAAGCGCTCGAAAGAAAGTCGACCGTTCTCTCCAAGCGGTCAAAGCGAAGTGCCCGATTTTACACGAGACAAAACCACCCGCTTTGCGCACGTCTGTTTCCTTGGGGTGGTTGGTTGCCAACCTCTCCTTCTTCTCACTAACCGTTTCTTGTGCGCGCGGAATTCGTTTGAAATTTAAAAATTCGAATTGGATCCTTACAACATATATTTAACAAAATTACAAACAAAATTTGACATACCTTTAAACACTTGTAGGTGTTGTGCACTTGTCACTATATATATATATCAGCGCAACTAACAACTCGCTTGTCTATAACTTCTCTCAGAACACTTGTGTACACTGCCACGGGTGCCTTGTATATGGTGGCAGCTGTGGTTGGCAGGGTGGGTGTAGGCCGCAACTTTTCCAACTCCCCTACCATACCAACAGGTAGAGTGGGGGGTGGAAACTACAGGGGTAGGGGTTGGAAAACTGCAGAACATGCAATATCTTTTTTTAACTTTCTATTTTAGACTAAAAAGTGCTAAATATATGGTCACCAAAAAGCTCAAGATAATTATCGATAGATTAGTATTTAAATAAATGAAAATATTTTTATTTTTCATGCTAAGAAATTGTCACAATAATTTTATTATAACTTAAAAACATTAAACATGTAATAAAAACTGTCAAAATGAAAAGAGTTGATATGACGTAAATAATTAGAAAAACAGGTAAATATATTTTAAAAATGTGGACGTTTTCTTCTCCCCAAAATTCATGTAGTGTTGATGTTTTTTTAAAAAATTAAATTAAAAATTTTAAAACTGCATATATTTTAGATAAATAAGTGAGCTATTTTCTATTATAGATTTACAAAAAACTGTATAGTTGTGTGTATAATAATATTGTTATACTTAAGGGGGAGCTGAAGTAGATTTTGGCGTAATATAAACCGTAATAACGTAAGGTAAAATAATGTAAAACGGGGCACGTGTTTTACGTAAAACTGTTGGTCCAATCACCCCAAGTTTTCTTATATACGGGGTGTTATTGAAAGGTACGTACAACAAAATTGACAGTTCTTCGCGAAGTCCAAGAAGTCTGAAAAACTTATTTTGTGTTATCAAAATTATAAGGGGAAAATTAACCCTTATCCAACCTTTTTAGACGCTACTGAAGGATAAATAGGTAAAACTAATTTATTTTAGTAAATCCTAGCAACTGTAACAATAAAACTTTTGTCAAGACTAAATGTTGCTTTAGAAACAAGAGATGATGTTTTTATCATAGGCGTACAATGAATTTGGACATAAATTTTAATCATTTTTATCTCTAAGAGGAGAACACTTTTACCTAAACTTTTTTTAACTTTTAGCACCCATACTTCAAGACCAATTGCCGATTTTATTTTGTACGTACCTTTCAATAACACACTGTATAGAATCTATTGAAAAAACTCAATAAATCTGCGTTTTCGTTTTTTGAAAAAACTAGATTTAAACATACTTTTTAAGCTTTGCAATTCCTGAAGTTTTGAGTGTTTTTATTCTTTATGACTTATAATGACAATTTACAAATTTGACTTCCGCACATCTGTAGTAAATTTATTCTGAAATAGATTTGTTTTTGAAAAATCAAAATCGGATAATAAATAAGCTTTAAATCACATGCCGAAAAGCACTGGATTTTCTAATGGACAGTAATTTTTACCTGCATTATACATAGAACGCGGTAAGGGAGCATTCAGGTAAAGGGCACGATTCGGGTTTTCCCGAGAACAGGTGTACGCCGAAAGCACTTAACGCCACCCGTCATAAATAAACGGATTATTGTTAAAAGGACAATTATGTTGTGATTAAGAATAATCTTTTACTAGAAATCATTTAACTAATTTTGTGCAGTGAAGTGTCCCTATAGTGCACGTGAAATGACGCCAAACAAAGATATCTTAGATAAATTAATTCCAATATATAAAATGGACAAAAAGGGCAAAACATGTATCAACACAGATACACAGAACATGTGAACATGTAGATATATAATTAGCCAAATGCAAAGCCAATTGTACATAATAGAAAGGAACATTTGTATTTTTGCCATTGGACAAAAACTTGGTCGAAAGCTGTTTCGACAGATCTTCCCTCGCTGCTGAAGTGTTGATTTTTCTTTACACAATTTTGCGATGACATCATCAAGATTTTTGCAAAGACACGTATGTCAACTTGGCTTGGTGCAGTGTAATACTAAAAATAATAATAAATTGACTCATTGATTAATATAAAATAAATATATAAAATAAATTGTTTATGTTCAGTTATAACAGCAAAAAAAATTGGTGGAAAGTTGTTTCGACAAAACTTCCCTCGCACCTAAAATACAATAATAATAATAATAATAATAATAATATGTATTTGCCCAACAGATACAAATCCATTAACAGGACAAAAATAAATACAATTCAGACTTTACAATTAAAACTAAAATAAAATAAAATATAAAGATAATGAGAACATTAATTATACTTGTATCTCCATCACTTCTTCTGAAAAAATATGTCCGCATAATGATCATTGGCATTTTTACACAATCGACAGAGTGGTGAATTTTTCAGAATATTAGTTCGCGAGGTTGGAAAACTAAATGTCACTGAATGACGAGCATTTCTTCTCGGTACATGGAAGTTAACTTACAATGAAACATATCCAGCATTTTCGAGTTAAATTTTTACTTTAGGTACACAATTTTGTGATGAAATCATCAACATTTTGCAAGGACACGTAAATCAATGCGGATTAGACTAAAAATAACAGTATTCCCAAAATTTCTGGGAAAATGGAGTGAGTCGTTCCTGATTTAATCAATAGAATAAATTGATTCATTCATTAATTTTTTTGAGCCACCTAGGTATATAAGCAAATCTAAAAATATGAATGCAATGATAAATTATGTACAAGTAAAAACTCATCATATTTTGCACATTTTTAGTAGAATTTATTCGGCAAAATTTTGAGATGACGTTATCAATGTTTTAGTAGCATAATCCTGAACTTGTGGTTTATAAATACATTATTGAGATATTTCGACTTTTCGGTTTTTCGATTTTTCAACTTTTGATGTTTCAATTTTTCAGTATTTTAATTTTTGACATTTTCAATTTTTCCATTCTTCAAATTTTCGATTTCTCCATTTTTTTATTTTTCGATTTCTCAATTGTCCGATGTTTCAATGATACGATTTCGCAATTTTTCAACTTTTCGATATTATAATTTTTCAATTTTTAAAATTCTAGATTTTTCGATATCTCGAGTTTTCAGTTCTTCTATGCATATTTCAGTTTTTCAATTTTCGGAATTTATTAAATTTCTGATTTTCCATTTTTTTTTGGTTTTTCGATTTTCCAGTTTTTCGATGTTTCGATTTTTCAATTATACGATTGTTCAATTTCTCGATTTCTAAATTTTAGGTTTTCCAATTTTAATTTTTTTTATTTTTTCATGTTTGGACTATTTATTATTGCTAAAAATAAAAGTAAAAAATAACTGCCAAAATTGTGACTAAAACTATGTAAAAATTAATAGAAAGTAGAACTCATTGCTGCTAAAACATAAAAATAACTGTACTTTCCCAAAAAAATCTATTGCATGATTACTGTTCCACTAGTATTGCTAATTTAGGACGTTAGTATCAAACGCAATGAAAGTATTAAATCTTAGTTAAACAAAAAAATCGAGTGAAACATGTGAGATGTGTGTAAACAAAAGCATCTAAATAATAACTATTTCCCGTAGAATTTCTGGAGACTTATAGAGTCGACATTGGCCTGAGCGCGCTCCGGTCTGTGGATCATACAAGTTCTCGGGCAATGTCACAGCGCAAAAAGTATTTCTCAAAAAACTTTCATACGTTGATGTCTTTTTAATAGAACAAAACACAATTGGCGAACGCAATAATCCAGAATGGTGCGCAGAAAAATCCTTTAGACTAACCGAACGTTATTTTGGTAAAATTTGCAAAATGAGAGAACAAGTAACACGGCTAATCCTATTGTACTGTGAAAAACATTTTACATTCCTGCAAATCTAGTTCAGCATGTACTCTCCCAAAATCTTTGCATAGAAAATAAAGCAAGGGCAACTGAAGCATTTTGTAGTAACACCAAACTGACAATAAGACAATGCGGTTTGTACATTTTTAGCGGCATCGCCAGATGGCTTAATAAACAAAAACGCCATCGTAGACATATATAAAATGTCCAATTTAAATAATGCTTAATTCAACAATTTTGGGAAAATAATATGATAGAGCCCTAGAAACATTTTATTTATATGCCTTACTTCCGGAGAGAGTAGATTCTCGTTATTAAACAAGTCAACCCATTAGACAAATTGTAAAGAAAAAATTGTACAATTAAAATTTTTTATATGCATTCGCGTCATGTGCAGTTCATATAAATCTTTTGACCTTCTAGTATAAACACACACAGGAATAAATAGTAATATTGGAATAGGTTTACTGGAGATATCACGTAAAAAACTCTGAAAAGAGTATCAAAAAATTAAATTTAAATAAATATGATTGTTCAGGTAAATAAGTGGTTAGTGAAGTGATGAGAATCTAAATCTTGTCAGTTTTGTGTATTGATTAATATATAAAATGACAGATTAATAAAAAATATTTGAATAATTTTTTGAAAGAAAATATTTTAGTAGAATGTATAAAATTATAAAAATTTGCATACTTTTAAATCAAATTATGTCAGCAATGAAACAAGTAGACTTGTAAAGATTGTCCAGAATTATATGAATTTTATGGACTCCCAAAGTTAATTTGTTTTACAGCCCTGTTGTCAGTTTTATTGTTTAGCTGAAGAGCGGGGCGAACTCAGGTACAGAAAAGATCGGCTTTCCCCTGACAGGCTCTTTACCTGTACAATAGAATTGACGCCTGAGCTGTGAAACAAATTAACGTTGGGAGTCCATAAAATTCATATAATTCTGGACAATCTTTAAAAGAGTTTCAACAATGTTGATCAGCTAAGAGTATTTATGAGTTTTATGACCTAAAGTACCTGAACTGATTACCTGAAAGGGTCGGTTGGTAAGAATCCCTGCTGTGTAAAACTCAGCCATTTATTGAAACGGATCTTTGTAAATAGGGTTGCCTAGTTTCACTTTATTTTCATTATTCAGTATTTTTTTAAAAAGCAAATATTTTGATAAATATAAATTCTAAACAAAAATGACCGGGTCTTCCCCATAGAGCTCAATGTTGTCATTGCACTGATATAAAAGTTGAAGCGAAAAATGCTCTCTCCTCGTCTAAAAATGCAATTTCCTTCGAAGAATGAACGATTAATTAAACACTAAACAATCACTTATTTTAAAAAATATTGTGTCTTCCCCAGAGATTTAGACATAATCTATCAATTGAAATGTCGATCTTTTTTTCAAAGTTGAAATTACGCCCGTAAAATGAAAATCTATTTAGCTCATTTTTCGGTCTGCTACTGGGCACCCTTAAGCAGATTTCAGCAATATAAAACTTACTATGCTAGATTATTTTATTATATTACTTTAGGAGATTGTCTGTGGGTCCCTGTTTCCGTCTATCGTCTGTAAACCATTTTATAATTGTCAATAGACGGAACCAGGCACCTGTTTTTTTATGGACATCTGCATTTTATGAGAACTAGAAGTAAAGTAAATACCGTTTTCTTGAAAAACAATACTTTTTATGATTTCCCAGATAAAATATATCATTTACAGAACGCTGTTACGTTAGTGACGGGTGGTGCCTCTGGTTTGGGGAAGGCCACCGTGGAAAGACTCATCCAACAAGGTAACCGAGTTGTTCTGTGCGACTTACCATCGTCGAAAGGCAGTGAAATTACGAAAACAATTGGTGAAGAAAAAGTCGTATTTGCTCCTACCAATGTAATTCTGTTATATATCTCTTGGCGCATAAAAAAAACAAGCACTTTACATTTTAGGTCACTTCTGAAAGTGATGTAAAAGCAGCTTTAGAACTGACTAAACAGAAATTTGGAAAACTGGATAATGTTGTCAACTGTGCTGGAATTGGAGTGGCATTTAAAACTTACAACTTTAACAAAAAGACAGCGCATAGTTTAGAGGACTTCACCAAAGTTATTAACGTAAGCCCGATTTTTGTTTGAGTAATGTTACATAAATATTAAGTGCGAGTTTTGATTTATGCTCCAGATTAACACGATCGGCACCTTTAACGTCATACGACTTGCAGTGGGACTAATTGGAGAGAATCAATTGAACGAGAAAGGAGAACGTGGAGTGGTAATAAATACGGCGAGTGTCGCAGCATATGAAGGTCAAATGGGCCAAGCCGCGTACTCTGCCAGTAAAGGTGCCATCGTTGGAATGACTTTGCCCATCGCTAGAGATTTGGCGAGTCAGGCAATCAGAGTTGTCACTATTGCTCCAGGTAAACAACTGCATACCCTCATTTTATTATTTAAATTATCTTTATCTCATTCATAAATCGTTATTTTAGGATTGTTCAGAACTCCTCTTTTTTCTGCCTTACCTGATAAGGTGGTTCATTTTCTGGAGAAGTCTATCCCATTTCCGCCAAGGTTGGGTGATCCTGCGGAGTACGCGCAGCTGGTTCAAAGTATCATTGAGAATCCAATGCTGAATGGAGAAACCATAAGATTAGATGGTGCTCTCCGTATGCAACCATAATCGTTTAGCAGCGTCATTTTTATGCATTTTTAAATAAAACAAAAATATAGCTTTACACTGTATTGATATTTTTTACAAAATCATTAGTGCTAAAATTAACAAATAATTTAAAAGACCCTTGAATCAAGGATCCATTTGGCACATTAACTTTGCTATGGTAAAAATACGTATATTTAGTATACATAACATTCTTTAACTATAAAAAAAATATAGTTAAAACTGTACAAATAATTTGAATTGATTCGTATTAAAAAATAAATATCTATCAATTCCACAGTATAAAAACAAACACTCTTGTGTGCAACGAACAAGAATAAAATTACAACAGCCATATATAGCACATTGGAAAGATTATGAATTTTGAAAGTGTCATTCAAACCGCCCTACCATCGTCTTCACCCAGCTTTTTTCACTCACGTTAATATTCTTGGACTCACGGCTGCAGTTCTGACTTGTTCTATTATTTTGCTCTATGTATATCTTTTTACATTTAGTTGCACCGGATTTTATTGTCTCAGTCGACATAACTACACTAGACGTGCTTTTTGTACTGCTCACTAAACGACTTGGTTTTGTGGGAATGGGCGGAGGAGCTTTGGTTGGCCTTTTGATCTTTTCAGTTGTATTATTGCTGTTGCTGTTTATTTCCCGCAGCGTTTTTATTTGTGACGTTTCTCTTTCCGAGACTTTACACTTTTGAATATAGAAACTATTTTCTTGACTTCTAAAGCTATCTTGTTTGGCAACTAGCTTGCCGTTTTCGTCTTTCGTATACTCTTCTACTAAACTGTCCTCAAGTATACTTTCATAATAACTATCAGAATTTTGACTAGAATTGATAACGTTTTCAGAAGAATTTTCATGTTCTAGCTTGTGCTCACTATGACTAGAACTATTCAACATATCCTGGCCTGTGTCTGATACAGGTTTTGTACTACTAGTAAGGCGCTTCTCGAATTCGTTAAGTACTTCGTTTTCATTTATTGTCATATCTAAACGTTCAGGCTCTGCCATTATCTCACATTCCGTAAGTTCTACATTTAAATTGGTTCTACTAGAACTACACGAGTTAGCGAAAAGCTTCTGGGGATCTACGTAGTCAGGATGTGCAATTTTTTCGCCCATGCTTTTCGAGCCCTGCTTGTGTAGAGGAAATTTGCTTGTGCGTTTCTCCTCTTCCGACATGAGGGCGCGAATTCGTTGCAACAGACTGAACCTGATGGCCGTTTTTCTGTAAATTTTATGCTCTGGATATTCGTTGTCATCTAGTTGAGACGAGAGATCGCTGAAAACAGTTAACACATATAAAAACAAATAAGCATCGTTTTGTTCGGATCAACTTACTTTTCGTGTTGCTCATCCGCATCGGGATTCTCTTTCAATGACTCATCCAAAACGTGCTCGTTTTTGTCCTTCTCTTCGCCGTCCGCGTCGATTTGATCATTCAGCTGGAAAGACCTGGGCAACGAGTCAGCTTTACTAGGTAATTTGGGTCTCTCTTCTTGGAACCAAGCCCCGGTTTCCGGTTCGCTGCCCCTGGCGGTCCTCCTCTGCCTATTCATAACCTTGTGGAATTCCTGATTCTGCATCAGCAAATCCGAAACGATTTTCTCTAAGTTGTTCTCCGGACTCTTATCTACCTCTTCACTGGTATTATCACACTGATCGGGCGTCTCCGCAGTCGGAGTCACGTCCAAGCTTTCCACGGATTCGCCGATGACGTCGTAATTCTCCGAATCCGACAAGTCCGTGTAGAACTTCGCACCGCTTTCTTTGGCTTTCTTCAGTTTGGATATCTTCTTCGGTATGGTCTTCGCGTTGTATTGGGGTATGATGCCCATGCTGGGTTCGGACTTCCTCCTCCAGCTGCCCAGAGAGGGGAACGAGCGGTCTTGGGACGAGGCGCGTCTCCCCGACAAGTCTCTAGATTTTCTGACTCTAGATCTGCGCTCGAGATAATGAGGAGTTGAGTGTTTGTTTAATGGCGACCACTTCTCGGTTGTGTCTTCTGCAAGAGAAATAAATTGGTACCTAGGCAATTTATTGTGTCGCGGTGAACTGACCAGTTTCTTGAACATCCTGTCCGAGCTGCAATACCAGTTGTCGCGCGTGGTTTGGTATGACTGCGCTGTAATTTTCTAAAATGACCCTTTTGATCTGGAGAGTCCACTCGCGCTTGTTTTGGGGCGACCTTGCGCGGAGTGTCACCTGCAGGCGGGGGTTGTCGAAGGGCAGGACTTGGAACGATAGAGGCTCACCACGCACTTGCTCGACCAACATGAGATTAGAACACTGAAAATAAGAATTGTTGATAGTGAGGTTCTTTCGTTTGAATACTGACAAAAATTTAATAACAGAATACTGTTTTAATTTAATCCACAATTTGTTTCTAGGTTTGCCATCAAATTCGATCGCGTTCGTTTGATATTTAATCCCAACGTGTATTTGTTCTGGTTGCTACATGAACCAAAAAGAGGCAGAAAATTTACGACCCTGCTGCAAAATTTATGTTTTCTAATTTATATTTTTATATTAGTGTTAAAGACAAGGCTTCTCCCCAAAAAATCATAAAATGGATTAATTCTGTGTATTTTCAATTATCCTGATTCATTATTTTGTCGTGAAAGGGTCATGAAATGTTGAGAAAACCTGATAGTAGTCATTCGTCGGATGTAATAGAGTTTTATTACAATACTTTACTTCCTTAGCGTACACATCCGGGAAGCAAAAAAGAGTATAAAGGATAAAAATTGAGAATATTTGTTAAATTTAAAAAACAAACAAAAAAACAGTATAGAATATTTGAATTTGAAAAATACTACATATTTCTTTATACTGGGTGTATGGAAAATGGCGGATTAACTCTCCGCTACGCTCTTAATAACAATCAACTCGTGAGTCCGGAAAAAATAGTAAAAAAATTCCTTCTCATATTTTGGTGGAGTTATAATGATTTTAAAAATGGCAGCTAGCCCTGCCCACCCACCCTCTGTTTTCTTACAGGGTATGTCTTTTTCCAAAATCAGTTTTATCTTAGCAGTGACTAGCCCCGCCCACCCACCCTCTCTTTTCTTAGAAGGTATCTCATTTGCCAAAATCAGTTTTATCTTAGCAGGTACGTCATCAATTTGATGGTGGGAATGATGAGGCAAATTTCGGTCAGCGTTTTACTAGTAATTTAAAAAATCCAGGATGTAGCACGAAAAGGGGATAGGGGTTCCAACATTTTTACCTCATAGTCCTATGTTTTCAATAAAGAAAGAACGATTCGGCGTTAAGGCTTGCGTCTGGTTCGGTTTAGCCATATACTAAATACATTGAAAACATCGTCGCGGTTTCCGAAGTTGCATTTTAAAAATATGAGATATATCGCTTTAAAAACATTATATTTCGAATTAACAAACTTCAGTCCAGGGGACCTCCATATTTATTTTCATATCTAGTATGCAGTTTTTACAAAAAAAAAATTATAAAGTTGAACAACTTTTACATCACATTTTAACCGGCACATTGATGCATTTTTTCACGAAGTGCTGAAGTTTTTTGCATTCTGAGATAGGAGGTCCCCTGGGGAAAAGTGTCAGCTTTCTTTTGATACCATTTATAATATTAAAAAATCCACGACTGAGGTAACTAACTCGCGAAAAGTCAAAATCTATTGAAACGAGAAATCGGCATTAAACGAGCTGTGATGCGGTAGCAGAATACAGGTTTACTTAGATTCTGACTTGGTTGGAGATTTCAGTATTTTAAAAATGCAATTCCGGAAACTACGACGATGTTTTCAATGTATTTAGTATTGGGCGAAACCGAACCAGACGCCACCCTTAAGTGTAAATTAGAGTCAGCCCGATTTAAAAAATTCTTTTTTTGTTTTCTTTTCAAATTAAAAATATGTAATGCATATTATGACCTTTTAACATGCATTTAACATCAAAATAAAATGGATACTGACTAGAGGAAAATATTTCCAACAAAATAAATTGTTAATTTTTTTTTGACTTTTTATTTCCAGAGCGTAAGAAAATAAACAGATCTCCATTTCCGTCTGTCTGTCTTTCGTCAGTGTTTAGTAGATTATTATTAGACAAATAACTGCACTGATTGTTATCAAGTTTTATTTGTATTTTAGGAAAATCGGGTAGATGGTAAAACGATAACCAAAATTTCTCTGATCATTTCCACCAACAATTTAATAACGTCACCCAAAAATTTTACATAGTAAATGCGATTTAAATTTTATACATCCATACATGTAATCTGTACCCAGTTGTGTCTTTCATCCAAGTCTGGATTCCAAATAGAGTTGCTTAACTTGCATGATCTCTACGCTGGGACTTTAATCAGTACTGTACCGCATCTCTACTTAAATTTTATAAAATAATACAATCCTGAACTTGTGATTTATGAATCCGTTTTGATCTTTTTAACTTAACACGGATTATCATAAAAAAAATCGGGAAGTTCCATCTATAACCAGACAATTTTTAAGAACAGGTACATATAACAAAACATTAATTAAAAATATTCGAGTAAACTTTTTTGTTTATTATAATCGAAAAAACCAAAAGTAACGAAGGACTTTTTTATTTTTAATTTTACAAAAAAATGACAGGAATAAAAATTGTTCCTTAATTCAAACCATTTTCAGCACATAGTTCAATTCTAACCATTTTTTAATTTAGTTCGTTCCTCTTATGAACCCAATCCGGGGACATACTGTATATAATGCGCTATTAAAACCGCATGAACATAACTAAAATTTATAACTACTTTTGATTTTTCTTGCAAATTTGATTGTAAAGATGTAATTTATTGAAAAACTAAAAAAATCAGAAACGTGTTTTTTTTAATTAATTATTTTTAACAAAAAGAATCTGAATTTTTCCAACTCTGGTAAAAATGACTGCAATATTTGGTAGGAAGCGTTGTAAAAGTGTCCATCAAAACAAGTATGCTTGCTTCGTTTCCAGGGTCGGATTAGATCGCCGCGCCCGACTAAAACAAGTTTGATTGAATTTTATTATATACATTTTATTCGCTCTGTACTTGCGTTACTATGTAAAGTACTTTTTTATTTTAAAAACCATTGGAACCTATTCTGAAAATTTCTTTCTTTAATAAACGACCCAAATAAGTACCTACAAAAAAAAAAAAATAGCTCCAAACAGCAGCTGTTGGGAATGTTGATACTCAAATGTGATTTTTTCGTGGAAAATTTAGATGCCTACCAGGGTAAAAACTCAAGACGAACTCATAAACCACAAGTATAGGAGTGTGATACTTTAATTTAAAAACCATTTAAATGTTGGGGGGGATGATTATAAAATGTTGGTTAGGGTACATATATTCCGAAAAAATAATAGGAAGACAAAAGATTGAAACTGAAATTAAAATTGTGAACGCATCGATGTCGTTATCATTCCTGAAAATTAAGAAATTAACACATATATAAACAACAATCGAGCAATAATTCGAACAAGGGAAACATTGAACTCTTGAAAAACTTGTCGGATCGGAATGTGATTTTATTCAACGCAAGATTATCAGTCCTTTCAGTCCGAAGAAGTTCCATCCACAAACTCCCAAGGACCAGAACTGATGGAATTTTTGTAAAACATGACTTATATTTTAAAGAGAATAAAAAAAAAAACGGTTTTGTTGGAGGTATACAGCAGATTAAACCACCATACCATTGCCATTTTAAACCAATAGAAATCATTAAAATATTTTAGGGGGGGGGGGGGAGGGACATGGAAATAATTAAAAATTAAGTCACGATAGTGTCAAAGGAGGCATGGCCCAACTGCGTGAAACGTGTTAGAAAAATTGAAGAGAAGTACCGTTCACGACCTGTTACGAAACTTACAGATTTAGAATCCGACAACAAAGACAGTGATAGCAGAGATAGTGATTGCACAAAAGTTATCATTGTTTTGCGTTTTACTCGTGCACAACATATCCAGATCTGAATATGTAAAAAAAAAAAAAACAAACAAGATTAGTTATCTTGAAATTGTTTGAAGTTGTAGATAATTACAAAAACAAAATATAACACAACGTTTCTTTTAATGCGTTTCAGTACACCGACACTGTTTTCTTCGCAAGCAAAGAATTTTGTCGGTGTACAAACTGTTATTGGATTCGCGGTTAATCAAATTTTGAATAGAGTAAAAATTAATACCGAAAGTTGCAGTTATTTTCACATAGTTCCAGCAGTACTTCAACAGTAGCCAAGTGTCAAGTAGTTTAGTATAGAGAGGCTTCAATTAAAGGCATTTCATTGTGTTGTTCGACGTGCATAAAATAACACACCGTGTTTTGATTAAGTTTGTTGTTTAAACAAGGTTAACGCCAACACAAAATTTTAATACGATAAAAAATGTGTTGCACCTTCAGGCATGATGGTAAACGTGGTAAACGTATCAGCTGAAGAATTTAAACGCCCGCAGTGGATTCCCACTAAAATGTGCAACCATATCAACAATATGTGATAAAGTGTAACCGTACTTATCTTGTTTTGTTTTCGGTAAATATGTATTTCCCTACTTGAAATTAAATAGGACTTGTGTTGCAAACGCATCTATTCATATGTTTCTAACCGTAATGAAATGTCTCAAAAACATGTCGGATCCCAAATTTATTTGAGTTCGGTCAATATTTTCATTGTCTACCGCGTTTGCCTGCAATAATATTCGGGAACTGAAGTGTTATGTTCCGCTGAAGAACACCACGTGCATAAACTAAACCCAAATTACCAATGTTGTTATTTAGATCAAGTAAATGTTTCTTATTCTTGCGGCCAACAATGTTGGTCGCATAAGTAGGTTTAGTAGGTAGGCACTCGGCGGAGGTGTTTGAAGTGGGTTCCCTATTAAGCATGTTTGTTTTTTTTACTCCTTGTTTATCTGCCCTCGTCTTTAATGTTAGTAAATAACAACTTACCTCAATGTGCGACTTGTAGGCCAGCGCTCCATCTTGTTTATTCTTCGCCATCAACAAGACCTTATCGAAAAGAAAAACGTGTCGCCTTCCTCTGGCCCCATTAACTCTGAAAGTGCCTTCAGCGATCAACTCTCCAAGAGTGGTGAGATCTGGACCGGTCCATCCATATAGTTGCGCCTGTATTTCATGCACTCTAACGGCATGTTCATGTTTCCTTTTCATGGTGTTAATACTGGAAGCGACCGAAGTCATAGTAGTTAAAGCCAAGTCTACTGCTGGTTTATGAAGTGTATCACATTGCTTTGAAAGCCTCTGCAAATAATCCGATTAGATTAAATTCTCTACAGGTGTACTGTCCCATACCTGCAGCAAAAGGTGATATTTGAGGATTCTTTGGACTGGTTTGAGTAAATAGGAGCCTAGGGGTAAAGCGTGACTTAAAGCCATTTGTTTCTCGCGGAATAAAGCGGTCATCTTTTCATCCCGAGTTAGCTCGCCGAGAACTTCCATCGTACGTGGGTAGTACGTACAATATTCGTTGTACACCCCGAACCCTGAATCGTTTTGGATGAAAACGTTCGCGATTTTGGTCGGGTTGAAGTCAGCTTCACGAAGTTGATCAAGAAAACACCTGCAACGTTAGTTTTTAGTTGCGATTGAGGCCTATATTGTGCGAATAGTAGGTACCTATTGAAATTGTAGATCTCTTCTAAGTTACTAAAAAGGTGGGGTAAATGCTCGTGCAACGGAGAATCCGCATCTTCTTTCCACTGATCCAAATAGCCCTGCAAACAAAAAGAATCCTTTGTAGCACATATGTGCAACCACACTGTTATTCCATCAGGAGCATTAAAATCAGTTTATGACTCGCATTGTTACAAAAAGTGGTCTAGAAAAACTATACTCCGGAGGCACATTGTGGCAAAAATGGAAACTCGTATATGTCCTCACAGGAAGTTTACTTATTAGGTAACACGTGTGAACAGTGCAGAATGTTCAAACATTTTTTTTTCAGTCCACATGTCCAAAAATTATAAACAGTTGGGTTGGTTTTCTTTGAAGTTCCACGTGTGTCGCTCTCGCTTTCAAACTTTTCTGATTAAACAAAGTCTTAATGAAAGCACCGCGAGATTGTCGTCTCTACGAGAGAAACCTGATGAATAACAGCGGCTCTCTTAATGGACAATGATTGCGTAACTACGACTCACTGCTAATAAAGAAGAATAGTAGGAGATCGAACTCTGAGAAGATTTGTTACTCGACATGAGTCATTGGCATGTTTTGTATCCTCCGGAAGATATAGTCAAGGTCGGTCTATGATGGTGCGTTCTATTTATTGCAGCGATTTACAACCGCTGCTACAGATTTCATTTGTTTGTAGTGACGAAAATAGAATAAGTGGTAATAATTTTAATATTTATTTCACTTTTACATTCCACGATATTATACGAGACGTGACTATCGCTCGGTTTATTATTATTACGAATGTTAACTATTGTTTATTTAAACTTGACCCTCATTTTATTCAACTTTCTTCGTTTGGCTTTGAAGATAAACATCAGAATGCATCGGTTACATTTGAATATGTGTCCGAAACAATGCATGCACAAAGTCGACCAACAGGAAACCGCAACAGCCATATAAACCCTTAACAATACAGCTTTGCTAACAAGATAGCAATGTTATTTGTCATCCCCGCCGGCTCCAAGATTTCCTTTATCTATAGTCGAAGCGATCTGAATCATACGTGAACACATTCTTATCGGGTTTGGTCCCAATAACTTATTTGCTTTCACAATAAAATATACACAAGTACACTACTATACAAGGAAATTGTCAACTGATTATCTATTTGTTGTGTCGAGATTAAAATTATTACTTGTTTCACAATTTATTTACTCCAGGTGAAGTGCACATTGTAGTTGCTTGAGTGTATATACTTGATTAACTACTTGATGGGACAAAGATCGTTAATTTGCAATAACGTTTTAATGTAAAAGTGTTTAACCACACATTTGCACTTTTGAAGAATAAATGATGCAATAATCATAATCATGTAGGTTTGATAATCACTTCCCATTAAACGTAAACGAGATGTGGGCGAGGTAATGACGAATGTTTATATTACGATCATAATTATGTACATTTTCATTTTTAATATACAGATGTGTTGAATTATGAGGTTTTAACGATCAACTTAAAATTTTATTATCTGCCTGACCTTACCAAACGATAAGTAAAAACAAAAGTCATTACAACTTTTTCTGATAATTTGACTTGTGCACTACTAAAATGAACAAACCTAACGTTATACACACGTTTCAGTTTAGTAATGTAACATTTTATAGAGTTGTACCACATAAATTATAATTGAACATGTTTTATTTTATTGTAACTGATAATTAATTTTTAATTTTATTGACATTTGCAATAATTAAACATAGCAATTTTGCTTGCACTGCTCCTATAAGATAAACAGACATGCAGACAGATAAACTGTCCTTGAAGTACCTGTTGTTAAACAAAATGTCCTGTTTATTTAGTCTCGTACATTGTTTAATTATGGTGTTGCAATATTATCTGACAATGGTTAGGAAGTTTTGAAAAATATTGGAAGCAAAAAATTTCCGAAGTTATTGAAACTGATAGGAACCTTTACACGGAAAATTTCGGTGTGTGTTTTTGATGATCTACTCACTTTTCCGTGTGACGTATTAACTTCGATACTTTTTATATCTCTTATCATTTGTTAACCCAATAACAAATAATTCGTTGACGTCACAGCGTTTGTACCACTTTTCAGTTTTCAGCCCACAGAAACGAATATTAACCGCATTTATTTATGCAAATTTATTATTATTCAATATAAACTGCTTCCAGTCTACAAAACTTGGTATTTTATTTACATGATAGACTGCTGGTCATCCAGTGCAACAACCAGAGAAATTGATTACTCGGACATCTGTCAATTATCAAATCTATACTATTTTCAAAGTGGAAATTCTGTTTTGGGATAAACAATTATAACCTCTCTCTGTATAAAAAACTTTTGTTTTGCGGTCATGCATTTTTGTGCACCGTTCTGTTGCAAGTGTATATTCCAAAGAATTGGCAAAAAAAAGATGATTATAATGGCATTTTAATCACAGATCATTTTAATTTGTGACCTACTTTTACCCGTATTCAGTAATTAATAAGAGTTCGCAGAGCCGGTAACTACATGGTTGTTATCTAATAATTTGATCAAACATAATTAAAAACCGACATAACCATTCGTCAACAGTTATGGTAACGAATAACAATTTACAAACTGTGTCGTTTATTTCGCTAATGACATGTCAAAAAATTAGTGGCAGAATTCATTTAATCATAATATTCAATCTAAAAAAAAATCTTATAAATTCTTCCGGTTTTAATTTTAATAACTTGCAGTGATTATTAACATGTTTTTTGTCGGAATTTATGTGATTTGAGGTAGTTTGGAGCTCGTTCTGAGCATTTCGAGTTGCCAGATCTACATATTAGCTATAGAAAGTACTAAGTTTACGAAAAGGAGACGATTGATGCCAGTTCTAATGTTCTCGAGGCAATAGCTTCAACAAAATCGTCCAAACACTAATAAAACGTCATTGTGAAAAAAATTAATATCTCCACAGGAGTTAAATAACACCCAAATAAAATTAATTTGATACTCTTGCCACTGTAATTATTTATTATAACATAGCTGAGAGCTGTCGATTTCTAGACTAACAGAATACAAACAAATCTGGATTTTGACGACGAAAATAATAGCTACTACGATTTAGAAAAGTCAATCAGTTTTCAAAAACATTCACCGAACTTTATCTTAACATGAAGTCATGAATATAGCTTTTAATAGATTTTAAAACCCACTTATTGTAGCCACAATAATCTTTTAATTGATAGATAAAACAAGTTAATATTCTGAATGTTTCTACAAAAACTAAACACTTGAGAAATACAACTGTAATAATACTGAGAAAAATTATTTTAAATTGCTGCTAGCTGATTTAAAGACGGCTTTAAAATAAGCACTAATTACACTCGTTGGCGTTAGACGAAATTTTTCAACTGGAAATATTAAAATCCTTTTTGGTCGCATTTTCTTCAAGTGAGTTCAATACCCCAAGCATGAGTGCAATTCACCACTTGACTTATTTTCTCTGCAAATATTTACAGCATATTTTGTACACATTTGAGGCATACCTGCGTGCATCTTTTGGCTAAAATCCATGCATATAATTGCAGACTCCACTCACTAAACCTTTCGTTACAGCTTATAATAACTGTAATTTACTTAATTATAATTTTTGAAATTCGTGAAAGTCTCTTTTACAGAATAAAAATGTCAATCACGTAAATCTCAACGCACCAGCACCGTAAAGTATGCATAAAATAAATCATTTCTGAATGAAACGTTTACTTATGAAATGAAGTCAGGTGTAAGTACCTAATATTTTCAATATGTTTGAGTTTTTGCATTCTACAGAGCACTCATTTAGTTTTATCTATTGTGTGCACTTGCACCTAGAGTTAATCGTTTCAACGACCTTTTATACCACTAAAATTGATCAACACCTTTTCTAATACAATTTTTTTTTTGTTGATAACATTTGTAGTTGTTTTACAGTACAGGTAATTCTAACCTCCTAAACAGATCTAATACTTACACAACTAAGATAAATTACTATTCTCAAATTTAGATATAGCTTTCCCAGACATTTTTAATTGTGCAAGTGCTTATTTATGTTTTAATAAAAATATTTAGGTTATGATTTATGCAACTCACCAGATAGTTTTTTTTTTGACACAAGAGCCATAAAAAGTTGTAAAAAAGAAAAGTAGTAGAAAGGATTTGTTATTTGCATATGCATAAATCAACTTGGTGACGCGAAACATTTTATATATCTACTGAACGATACATAATTATTAGAGCTGTGCGGTTGAAATTTAAACGCTGCGAATTGACCCCCACTCCGGCAGGCCAGAGGCTTGCATCCGACGTTATGTATCGCGAAGAAAATTACGCGAAAAATAATGTTAACGGTATGTCAGTTGATGATTTTAAAATCCATATTCACGAAATAAGAGTAATCATAATTTTAATAATGTTCAGGTGTCCGTCTCGCTGACAATAAAACTATTTGTGTGAATTATCAAAAATAATCCACAACTGAAAAGCGAGAAGCGAGCAAGGCAAGGCTGTGTAGCGATCGGCACTGTGGGCCGATAGTGGGGGTAAATAAATTTCAACCGCACAGCTCTACATATATTTTTAACGTCGTCCATCGCAATTCTTGACTATACTATAACACATGGGAATATAAACGAAGGTTCGTCGATACACCTGTTGTAATCAGGCAGTTGCGTAGGCGATAAGTGTTATGATCTTCCAAATTCCAATACTTTGTATTAATGTTCTTCACCAGAATTCTTTCCACGAATTGATTTTTTAACCATTTTGAAGAAGTTTAAGAACCTGATTTACAAATCGATTAAAAGAAGATGACGAAACCGCTGCACACTTCCACAGTTGACACATCCAATGCTTTCTCGGAATCGTCTATAGCCTAACAGGATCACTTTACTCACGTAGAATAGTGTATTTGACTTCTACTTATACGACGCCTGTGACTTCCAATATTAATAAACGGAAACTGGCAATTTACAGTAAGCAATCGGCCACAGGTTTTTCTAATTAAGATAGATATTTCAACGCTGCAAATATAGTAAGGCTCATATGTTACACTTAACTACTTATCTTACATAACATCGTTTATAAGGTAGCTATTTCAACAACTTGTAAAACTGACGTCACCATCATCTTTATTTATTATGTCATGCAATCAACTTGACGACCATGCAATAGCGAAAACTATTATTATGTAGCAGACGTACCTGGATGACCTCGTTGAGGTCGGCAACATACACGGTTTCGGTATCTAGAACTTCCTGCAGAACCCGAGCTTCAGGACTCATCGTTGGCTGTTCTGCTATACCACTATCTGCCGAACCTGGAACAGGATTGTACGTTTAATATTCCGTCCTTCAAAATCAAACATAAAAATAAAGTTCATAGTTATCGTTATTTCTGGAATCCTTTTCTAGATTTGTGATTACTAAACATACCCACACGAAATAATATATCAAAATTTTATTTACGTGGACTTCTGACATTCTAATTAGTGCGTTTTTGTAGCAGTTGGAAAGAAATATAACCTGAATGAACTTTTGTTTGTAATGCATGCGTTACAAGTGTTAAAAAAAACTTTAATTGTCGAAAGGTTACAATTTTGATATTTTTCCAAAATCCTAAATGTTTTACGGCACAAAATAAGAGCAGATTAATAAACCACAAGTATAGAAGAGAGTACGCACCTCATTAAGAGGCAGACAGACAGAAACGGGATACCAACTTTATCATATTCTACAAACCTTGGAGAAAAAGTGAGATTAGTCGACAAATTGGCCCTACTACAACATTTAATTACCACCCTCGAAAAGTAAAAATCGAAAAAAAAAACTACTCCATGGTTTTTGAAAATTAGACATAAGGGGACGCTCTGGAAACAAAAGATGTGAAAAACGTAGGCGTTGTTTAATTAGTTTAACCTCAATTTGTTTCACTGACGGTGACATAAAAAATATTCAAACTACGCCCTACGTCCTTCGTATCTTTTGTTCCCAGAGCCCCCTTATGTCAAATTTACAAAATCATACAGTATTAGTTTATTTTTCAACACGAACCCGTGATTGATGTCAAAAACTTTCAACTTTGGTAAAAATGAAAATATAATTACATTCAATACTTTACATTTTCCATAACTTCTGATAGTTATAGCAATCGTTAGAAATCAACTTTTGCCAAGTGAACTCATAAACTAATAGGATGTAAAGTGAGTGTTTCCAGCCAAGCGAAATTAACATCTTAATTGTGCATAAAATCGATGCACATAATTAAAAGTACATCCTCATTTCTTAATTGTGTAACACTTCTATGTACTATATTGAGGATAACTTCGGCGAACATTCAAATATAGTATAGAGGTACCAGAAATAAATGCACGATTATCAACGACGATCTGTCAAATCTAAAAAACTAAACACAAAAACTAAAATTGATGTATGCATTAATAAAAAAGCCAAACACCGTCAAAATTATAAATTAATTGACTACTTCGAGTTTGTCTGAGAGCTCACACAACACTCTCGATTGTCTAAATGTGAGTTCCATCTTCTTTATTGGAATTATGCAAATGTAGAACCATCAAGGCATTAATCCACTTATCAAACTGTAGCGCACAGTCATACCTTTCAAATGTAAGTGGTTCTGAGTGATTCTATTTAAGAATTCTGAACTGGAACTAACAAATTTCACCACTTCAACGAATAAACTGAAGTAACTGAACTACAGCACAAATATCATGCATCGAGCAACTATTAAGTATGCTCCTTAGCTTCAGGGTGCGTTGTTTATGGCAGGTTCTGCACCGTTTTAGATAGTTGCATGCTAATTTAATGGAACCTTTGGCGTCGCACGCAAAGCTGTCGTGGTGCATACTTCAAATTATTTAATTAAGTGCAGGCCTGATGTTATTGATAATGAACGGTTTATAAGCTTGTACTTTTATTAAATGATAAGATATTCATTGAAATGCCACTTTTAACGCAAGTGGGTTTCCTAAAATACCGACACTCTTTATCGTTCCGACAGGAAACGATCAAATGACAATGGTCTGGTGTGTGTTAAGTCAGTGTGCAGCATAGTTGAATTATATAAAAAAGAAAATGACCGAAAGATTTTAATACATTTGTTACTTGCAGTTGTATGCAGACTCGTTAGAAAATGTATGTAAACTTGAGACAAACTTTGAGTTAAACGGTGTTTCTGGAACTACTCCAAATCCTAATGAAAATTTTCAAAAATGTGACCTTCAAATACCCCTTTTGCACATGGAAGAATGGTGTTCAAGTTGTTATAGAAAATGGAATCAAATATAAAATACAGACGTTTTAAAAAAGAACTATTTTTGTCAACAGTTTCCTAATGTCAAAAATCAGAGTTTAATTAATTCATAAAGGAAAATTAATTTTCGAGCAAATTAACTCTGCAAAATGTTCTTTTATGTTTACACCTATTTCTGTCTTAATTAAGATGTTATTAAATATTAATTAACACTTGAATTAATAATAATTATAACAAACAGAACAAATGGTATCGCAGTAAGAAGTAAATTTTATTCATTATTTCTTACTTTGTCGTATTCCAACCCTAATTAATGGAGAACCAAGAACTACAGATTTGCACAATTAATACTAAGTAGTAATAGTAAGTAGGTGTAAATTATTCTGAAAATTCTACTTTATTCCCACCTAGGTAATAAGCTCTAGGTGGGAATAAAGTAGAACTTTCTGAATAATACCATAATTTGTTCTAAATATAACCGATATGTAAAGAACCATAACGTCTCGCACTACTTAAAAATAAAAACATTCCTTACCCTGATGCTCTAAAAGTCTATACCCAGTAAAAATTGCTGCTGGGATGTAGGTACTGTATACGATATGAAATAAAAGGCAAAGAAATGACATTTGAGTTTTTTAAACTTTGAAAGGTGACGTCACATGATTCTTTTTAAATAGGATGATATCCGATTTTTCACATATTCAGTTAACTATTTAGTACTTTCACCACTTTTCAAGTAATTTAAGTCGACCGTTACGAAAAATCGTATGTCTGAACAATTCGTTCCTATTTTACACAAGAGTTACAATCGTAGGTTAGTTTTAACTGTCAATCAAATGTCACTTTCACAGTTTAAAAGCCATATAAATTGAACGACGACTTCGAAAGGCAAGGTAAACGAGTATTTTGATTTGGCGCGCATAGCATAATGTAGTATCATATATACCTTAGTTTTATTAGTAATTGTAGGTTTCGATATTCAGCCACAGATCTAACTTAACGCCGGATGTACATTGTGCGACATCCGCTTGGTTTTCACGTTGATGATAAACTTAAATGACCACCCCATACTTCCTTTTGTGAAGTAGTAAGCACTGACAAATATTGGTATTTTTTTTTAATACCAATGATTTACCTTCTAATATGCCTCAGGAAGTTTTTATCAACTGACTTTTTAAAATATTTTAAAATTGGAAGTGAACATTCACTTGACGTGTAAGTGACACTATGGTGTCAACCTAAATTTTTACCATATTTTGGCTAAACTCGCCAAGTTGTGTATAGACGTGATCTTCTGAAATTTAGAAGGTGATTCAGATTATAAAAGATGGTACATCAATTTAACTTTGAAAATTCGTAAGCTTTCCACCTCCTTGTGATGGCTGATAGTCGTTTGTTACAATGTCAATCATAACATAACCTAATTTTATTAATTTTTTTCGGTGTGTTTGTTTTTAGACAAAAGTGAGCCATGAAATTTTTTCTTCACGTTGGATAAACTGATTCATTAACAAAACGGTTTGTCTGTCAGTGCATGAGACTGACGTTCATTTGGGGCTGATTTGCGAGATTTAATTATTGTTACAACAAAAAAGTTCAATAAAAAGGTGTTATAAGTGAAAAAAGAAAGTCCCCAACTCATGCGTGAAGAGTTAATGATAAGAATAGTGAAAATAATCGAATTTGAATTCTGTGTTGTGTCGTTAACTGCGAGAAAATTATCTTCTGCCAATGAATAATGTTGCACTATTTTAATTAATATTCATTTACTGTGTGATGCATCGATGAATAAAAATTGCAAGAAATGTTTGGTATCGTATCGGTGACAATTTTTTTGTTCATTTTTCGTGTTACGCGAAGGAGTTCCGTCGTAGTCAATTTTGACTTTATTGAGTTTGTTTAAATGGTTTATTTTTGTCAAAAATAATTTAGTTCCAAGATTAAAGTGAAAACTGAGTGTTATGATGGGCCCATGACGAAGGAGTCTGCAAGGATCGCGACGGAAGGAAAGGAAATCAGGATTTAAAGGGTAAGTTGGTAACGATTAGGTTTATTATTCAATGCATTGTGTCTTATTTCTTCAGTTCTTTTCTTCTAAATTCATATAAAAATACGGATGTTAAAAGTGTTTAAAACTGGTCGAAATAATTTGGAATATCTAATAGGTTTTTATCAATGTTAATTATTTCAAAAATTACGAGAACCAAATAAGATTTAAATAAGATATAATAATAAAAGATAATTCTTTTTCATTAGTTAATAAGTTAACTGAAGGAATTTATTATCTATTTTTTACTCTTCCATTATTATTCCCTAGCTTTTTCGTAAACTTATAAAATTTGATTTTGCGAATTTTATTTTTTTAGTTAAAATAAAGATATGTTAGCAATGATAAAGCAAATGTAAAAAAGGTGCTACGTATATTTTTAAGTGAGTTTTTCCTTTACAAAAGTCATGTCATCAACATTTTTGCAAGGACACAGATATAAATTTGGATAGATGCAGTGCAATACTGATAACAACAGTATTGCACATGTAGTTTATGACTCCGTGTTGAATTTTTACCCGAAACGTCCACATTTTTGGAAAAAAACCTAAATCATAAAGTAACACTTTGCAACTTAATTTTGAATCTGGAATTGAATTTTAATCAAAATATATAAAAAATTATGTCAGCTCAAAATTTTGCCGAATAAATCCTATCCAAAATGTAGAAAATATGATGAGTCTGTACTTGTGATTTATCATTTCATTAATATTTTTTGGATTTGCTTATATAGGGTGACTAAAAAAAATTAATGAATGCGTGAATTTATTTTATTGATTTAATCAGGAACTACAAAATCGAATGCGCTTTTGAAATCTTGGAGGTGTTTTAAAGCTACCATAAACACGGTAAATTTTTGATCAAAATGTATTTAATCATCCTCCTTAAAAAATTGATGACGTCACCTCAAAATTTTGCTGAACAAATCCTATATTAAATGTGCAAAGTATGATGAGTCTATGCTTATGATTGATTGTTGCATTAATATTTTTTAGATTTGCTTATCCAATGTGCCTTAAAAAAATTAAGACTGCAAAATTGAATATTTTGAAATCATGCAGACGTTTTGAATTTATTGTAAGCATGGTAACTTTTTAATCAGAAAAAATTAATAAATTAGTCAATTTTGAGTTTTACTTGCGATTCATCATTGCATTCACATTTTTTATTGATCAAATTAAGAACAAGTCACCCCATTTTCCCGAAAATGGGAAAATATAAACGTCTTTATTTAATAACAATTATAACAATGATATTTAGAATATTTTGTCGATTGTAGCTTTCTACTTTATAGTTTTGATCCTCTGTTTTGAGGGGACGAACTCATTCAAATCAAACTAATTTCTACATGACATTCTTCCGATGCATAAACATAAACACTTTCAAGTTGTTTTTCTTATCGAGGATAACTTAACGACAGTAACGAAGTCCATCGGGCAATTTGGTACTTTCATATTTTCTCGATATTTCATAACCTCAGATAAGGCCGTAGCTAACGGGAGGCTAGGGGATGTCGAGCCCCCCCTAGATCTAGACAAGTTAGAATTAACCAAATGTGAACTACAACATCGAAAATTAAAATAAAATGTAGTGTTTTATTCAATTATTAGCGGAAGTCACAGCAATAAAAAAGTCTGGACCGTCGGCATTGTGATCCGGTTTCTGTAATTCGTAGAAAACATCTTTTAGTTCAGTTTCTGTTTTACTCTCACGTCTAGAGGTTGATAAGTGTTATCATTATTTGTCTTAAGTTACGAGTACCATAAATGATTTTCAGTTCAGTCTTCAGTCGCACTTCTGTTATTACATACGGCAGACGTGATTAAATTGTTTCATTATTTTATTGATTATAAATCACTATTCAAGAATAACAATAATACAATACTTTTATTATTAGTATTACAATGCATCTATCTAAACTGATATATGCGTCCTTGCAAAATTGTGAATGATATCAACACAAAATTTTTTAATAGAAAAACTCACTTCGGTACGGATTATTAAACTTAAAACTTAATTATTACTTATTCAAGGGGAATTTTAAATTTCAGAGCATATTTACTATGCTTATTAAATGCTGAAATAATACTTCTAATTGTTTACTCCAGTGCTTTAAATCGTATTTATTGGAATAAAAAATACAAAATGTGAAATTACTGGCAACAGAGTTAAAGTTTTTGTTAGATTTTCCAACCCTACGTTAAAAACAATTTGACCTAATTTGAGAAATTTTATTTTTCATTGGGGATCTTTGCATTTTCGAAATTGGTTGCCAACCAAATTATTAAATTTACATGGCCTACCTTTGTCTAAAAACATCCTAAACGGTATATATGTTCATTGTTTTGTTAAACTAATCACTATAAAACGTTTTACGAGGTAAGGTTATTGCACAAACTGTCTGAAGTGTATGATTTCATTTTTGCGGGCAGAGTGAGCTCAAATTCTTCCCAGAAAAAGTCAAGAATGACGGGAGTCCTTTTACATGTTGAAATTAAATAAGATACAGTAAACAAATATTGTGTCCAAAAATGTTCAATACACCAAAAAAACGGAAGTGATTTAAACCTGCTACAATTTCTAAAGATAATTTACAACCCACAAGTTTACTTTATCAGATCTAAATCTAACAACCTGTTAATTAAAACAATTATTAGCAATATTTCTTGCGATCACAGACAGGCTAATGACCAGTCTACAGAAATAATTATCGCTAATAATGAATTAATAGATATTTTACAGATCTTCTCAATTTAATGTTCTCAACTATCGTCCAAATTTCACACAAAAACTGCTCTAACCACAACAACACACTGGGTCAATTTCACTCTTTGGGCATTCCAGCCATGCGTCTACTTGGAAGAGCGCCTTTGAACCCGACGAACCGGATGATTTAAGAACCACTCACCGCAAACCAATGCGGAAAATTTCAAAAATGACGACCTGTTTCGTACGTACGAAAAAGTTTCAACTGACCTTGGCTTCCGGTCGGTTCGGGGTCGCTGTCGAGACTCTCTGCCGATGCGAGGTATGCAGAACTGGGTTGATGAGGTCCGCTGCTTCCACTCGAAGAACACGACCCCAAGCTGGTGAGCGAAACAGGACGGGAAACCTCAGACGACGTCGTACTGTTCGTGCCCACGCTGCTCTCACTTGGAACCTGCACACAAAAAGAAGCAAAAATTGAAATCGACGGGGAGTTTTCAACACGTTTATCTCTATCTAATTTTATTCGGCTTGTTGCATTCGCATCTGTTTGTGACTGAGCTGAAAGGACGAGGAATGGAGTGTGTCGAGCTGGAAGAGTAAGGTAAAATTTTGTTTGCATGTGAATGACACACCGAATTAAGATTTCACAGTTTTCGGTCTACATTCGTAATTCGCTACTTCCTTAGTATTATTTTTGGATAATTATAAAGTTGCTGGAAAATTAGGTTTTATGGTGTGCATAATCGTGTGTATAGATAGTGTGGAGGCACTAACATTCAAATAAAAACAACGTGTTGTTGAAAATTATGTATTCTGTCTGTTATGTTGGCAGAGACGACTGGTTGAACTTATCTAGACTGCCTGGTATTCTTTCCAGTGGGATTTGAAATGTAATGACATCATTACCCCTTTATTTACGAAGAATGCACACCTACACAAAGTGGGTACATTCGCGATACATTTCAACATTTCACTTTGGTTCGTTATCAAGTCAACAGAATTTTGAATATTATATGCTAAATTCAACCTTCACTCTGGAATAATTATTATGAAATGTACGAAAATTTTTATCGTTCTAACCACTAGTTAGCTAGAATATTATCTACAAGCATTTTTGAAGACCAACGTCTGGATATTCTGATACTTAAAATTGATGTTTTAAAGAGACTATTCGATTTTCTAGCCATACGACGAAAGTTACTTGTTCGAATGAAAATTTCCGATACATATTGAATTTCTTATGTTTAAAATCCTTCTGAAATTAGTTATCACTGAAATATATGTATTTAAATAGGTAGTTCTGAAATGAAATTTTTAATTCTTTGGATTATCTGAATAGTCGTATAATAAGATCTAACCTGATTTGACTTTGAAAAAACATTCCTTTTAAACTGTCACCTTCAACTTTGTTTTTAAATTTGAAAATGAATATTTGATGATATTGTTAACTGTGAACAAGAACTATACCTTAAGGAAACATTTTTTCACTGTTCTCAAATGTATGCACCATTTTATCCGAACGATTCGAAATACGTCAATTTTTCAACTAATGCAAACACAGTGATTAATGCCAATGTTGTTCGATTAAATAATAATTTCGCTGTTAATGATGAACTAGTGTTTAACGTCTGTAAAATGAGAACATATTGGGTGTTCAGTTGAATAAAGTCATCAAGTTGGCTTTGCTTTTTTCTAAATATTGTGAAGTATGTCTACTGTTAAAGTAAATTAAAAAACCACCACCTGTTGAATTAAGTTGGTACCATATAAAACTTCTCTAGGGGTTATTTAAAATTGAAATTTCATGACAAAAATGTCAAAATCAAATAAATAAAAATAACGTGTTTTGAATGAAGACCACGGCCGTATACTTATTATAACAGGTCTGCGAACTCCCAGTTTAAAATGGTCTTTTTTCGACGAGATCCTAGGAGGCCACGGGAACTTAAAGTTCCTAGCGCCGTCTACTGGACACTATGATGAAACAAAGGTCGAGCAATAATGACTGAAATTTGCGTAAAAATGTCCTTGAATGCAAGTTGTCAAAAATGTCAGCTTTATAGGTTAAGTTTTGTGACGTCTTTTTGAAAGATGAGGGGGAATATACGTCAAATGTCATGTCAAACATCAGTTGATAGTGCAAATAGTACAATTAACTACCACATGGTGGTAGTTAATTGTACTATTTAGCGGTCATCTTAAGCTCCCACAACCTACTACTATACCAGTTTTTAAGCGCCCGTTTTATGAAAATTTATGAATGGAGTTGAAACACCTTACACCTTACTTATACCACCGTGATGAAGACCATGATCATTCCTAACCTCAATTTTTTTGACAGCATATTTGGGTACCAAAAATCTGAGTGGTTTTTTAATTTTTGAACAGATGATACAATAAACCTAAAATTTAATCGATTAGAGCTGACAACGTGAAAAAGTCAATCACACAACAGTGAGCAACGCCAATTTGATGATTTTTTCAATGGAAGACCCGTTATATAGTTAATTATTTCCTAAATTCTACGGAATTCTGGTGTCTCCGGTAAAATTCTGCGGGCTTATATCTTGAAAAGGGACAGATATTGAATTTCTGTAAGCGCCAGTGTCTTTACCTTGAAGGGGTTACCTACACCTTTTAAATCACAACGTAAATTTTTTCTACTGATTTTTATTGAATATTTCTATACGTTTTTATGATATATGTGTTGTATTTCATTTTGAATTTTCCATTTAAAATGCCTATAAAGCAAGTCAAAATTTACAATAAAAAGCATTCTTTTCAACCAAAAATACTTATTTAAGACGACTTGTGCTTTCTATATTAGCTCCTTTCTGGCTGAGGGTCATTGTATCCAATATTCGATTTTATGTGCTCTCTGTGATTCATAGACTGGTTTTGATGGTAACTAAAATTTTTTGTTTTATTAATAAATAAATACAACGTGACGCAAACTATTTAACATTTTCAAAATTTCAGGCTCAATTTCGCGGAACAAACTTTAGATCATGCAGAGGGTGAATTTGCTTATTTGTTCAAAAAATGTGTTCCAATTTAAAATTGGTAAATTAGCATATGGGATGCGCAGTACATGCTTTGTTTTTAATATTTTTCTATTCTGTTCTTGAAATGGTTTATTGATGTATCCAAAAATGGAATGGTCTAGGTTACTTAAATCTGGCTATCGTGCTGACCAAGAAATATGTATTACTGAATTGTACCATGAGAAGGGCGCATCTGCTAGAAATACATATGTACCTGGATTAATTTTTCATCATGCAGCATATTAAGGGCAGTCCCTACGTTTTTTTCATTGTGGAGTGTGTAATACATATTCAGCATATCTCCATTATTAACAGACTTAATTACCTGAAATTTTAAATGTAACTTTTCCACAAATATCATTTTATTTTATTTCGGTGAAATTTTTCATCACATATTTTTAAAAATCTACATCTCAGTTATTTATGTTCAGCTTATAGAATTGTAGACTACCCAAACTACATTACCGACAGTTTTCGTTGAAAAAATTGCTTGCACCGTAGCTCATTTTCGCTGAAAAAAAGTGCAAGAGTTCTGCAAGCTGAAAACAGTGGCGAAAATCGTGGTCGGAAATTTCCATAAATAACTTAATAATATAGCAATAAATTTGTTAATAATGTGGAAAGCTAACGTTATTTTATAACTACATTGTAGTAAGAACATTTCTGTTTTTGAAAATAATTTCTGTTTTTATTTCAGATATTATGTTTATATGTGCTTATATGTATTTTATTCATGCAATTTTGCGACAAGATGGAAGTTATGATATGTATGTGTACAAACTAACAAATGAAAATTACAGAGAAAGGACAAAGGTATAATTTAACTATAAAGTTCGTGCTCTCACTATAAATGAAATTGCTAATGACAGCCTTGGAATTTATTCTGGACTTTACATACTCGAAACATGGAATCACATGAAATGACCCTTATTCTATATATTTTACTGATAAAAAAATATACAATTATAGCTACGTAGGTATATTACTGATATCTGACTTTTGTTTTTTTTTTTTTATAAAACAGCAATTTTTTGAACAATTCTTTGCAACGAAATGATGTGATTACTTTATATCGCCGAACAGATGTAGTAATAAAGGCGCGTGAATAACTGGCGTATCGTTCCCATTGATTAGGAAACATGTGTTTAGAAGATGGTGTTACAATATACTTTAAAATCGAGTGTGACTTATTCTTGTTGTATATTTGTTGTCGTTCCGCGAAGGTGTGTGTCTTAGTGATATTGGCGATTTTGGGGTGTTCTATTCAATTTAAGCATATTGTGAGAATCAACGAGCAAAAAGTCAAATTTATTGTAATATGTAGTTCATCTAAAGTTATAATTTTGAACATAGCGGGTGCTTTTTGAGCTGATTTTTATTTTCTATTGAAAACCTTAGTACAATATTTAATGTAATACTTATTTGTTTTTATCATCATCTTGCCACACTGGTTTGGATTGAGATGTAGGTATGATATTTTTACAATTTGGATGTAAATCATTTAAACAGTTCTATATTTCTTACAAACTTATCATTACACTACATCTCAAACACATTTGATAATAAGAAAGATATAGCTATAGAATGTGGAAAACACCGACCCACTTACTATACTTAGTCCTATCAATTTCGAAAATATTATGTGTTAATCTCAAAGACAAAATACAGATGATTCAATTATTATTTGTTGTATCAGCACTTTCTACGATTAAATTAAATACATATTGTCGCCCACAAAATAAACAATTCTTATAATACTATCGGCATGAATTTCGTAATAAATGCCAAAGTTCTTTAAACCGATACGAAGTGTTTCTATAACAATTTTTTCCACTACTGTGAGACTGTGACTAGGAACAAAAAGTGTTCAGCAATGTCAAAAGGGTAATGGGGCACTCTTTCATGGTAGATACAAATGGAATCTAATTTGCTCATAAAATTTCCTTTTGCAGAACGCGTGACTGCGTAAGATTAATAGCGGAATGCGAACGTCGGGCAAAAGCTTGAGTCCATTATCCATCCAATGCACATGATACAATTAGATATTCGCCACGCTTTCCATAAACGCGGTCGAACTAATATCACAATTTGTTGATAAATTTTATCCGACAAAGATCTAGAAGTAAACGATTGTTATTAGAATCACGAGGATAAGTATTGCCGCATTATAATGAAATATTATTCTTATCTGAATAGGAGGAGTGTAACCCATTCGATTTCCACAAAACTTACAAAACAATAAATTGCTATCATTTATTATTATTATTATAGAAAAAATTGTCGATAATCATGACCGACAATAGGGTCATAAAAGTAATTGCACAAGTGATGCTATTGTGACTGTATTTCTACATTTGATACACTTTTTCAACATCAGTATTAATATCACTTGAAATATTCTGTGAAAATTAAATCATACACTTGCAATTTCTGTAAACGTTAAAACCGGTGAAAAATTAAGAAAAAAATATATGCTACATGGTACATGGTAAAAGGGTTTTAAAAAGTGGTTAATGCCAATATTTCTGTTCACACAATCAGTAACTTCCAGATAATAAAAGTGCTTACCCCATATAAACAGAGTAACAGTTTAATGTGCAAAGCAACGAGTGGAGCATCGAGCATTCCAGTCAAAATGAATGAATTATTCAGGTTGAAATCAATAAACGTATTTGTCCACAAGTCACATTCAGTCAATGACTCATGTTGATTCATAACAGGAAATTTGCCCCAACCTCATCAAAGTGCCATTTACTGAAACACGCAATTAAAAGACTGTCAAACCGAGTTCATAAGTCTTACAAAATTGAACAATTACTTTTCGAGTGCCAACTTCTCTTGAGGTCTTGAGACAAATTGCTCTTTGATGGTTGCTCCTCCACTGATAACATCGAGGGCTATTGTGAATATTTTTTAACGTCTAAAGAATACCGCTAATGATGTTTGATGCTCAGAATAAAGTAATTTAAGTAACGGTGTGCTACAGGAGGAGCCGCTTTCGCATTTCCATAAATAGTCATGTAATTTTTGCAGTGATTATAATATCCGAATTATTCCTTTTATGGGGCTAATCAGACATCAAAGATTTATGTGATGTAACGTAAGGTGAAATATTGGTTCTCATGACCAAGATGAGACCTCGCTGGGATTTAAAATTATTGAATGGTCAACGAGATTTGAGATAATCGGTTTCTAATTGAATTCAGAATTTGTAAAAAAATGTTTAGCTGTGCAATTAGCAATTACCAATGATCTATGACAGCGTTGTAGAGATAGCAGATACTGATACTAATAATTTATGTAAGATACATACATGTTTAGTGCAATTTTTTCTGTTATTACATTAGACCATATGAACGAAAAAATACTCCCATAGTATGCCGCGCAATTTATTTTTAAAATAATGATGTTGGCAACATCAACCCGTTCTTTGTACAGTCTGAGTTACTCTCAAATAACTTGGTTAATAGTTTTTCGTGTTGTGTTCACATCTTAAATACTAATTTTTATAATGATGGTTCATGTAACCTTACCATAGCTACGTAAAAAGGCACAATAAAGACACATTATATAATAAATAATGACACCACTTACATAGTTTTTTAATATAAATCAATTACACCAACTTATAGTCGTCCACAAGCCCATTGTTATGGAGTCAAATTCTTCAATAAAGATGGTCATAACAGGGGTAATATAAACCTATCTCGCTAATGTTAACCGGTCACTAATGACATTCATTACTCGCCATCACAGATACACAAAAGTTTAAAAGACACTAATATGTACGTATAATTGAAAAAACGCTGGGACAGGTCAAACATTTTTTCAGTGTATATTAAAATTAATGAAAATTTATTTTGAGGTTACGTTTTAACAACTACGGAAAAATGCTGGCGAAACATAGTTGACAATGTTATACGAAAATAATCATTTTTCTTACTAAACTGCAATAACCTTTTACAAAAGTTGTGTTCAATTACAAAGTAGCAAAAAAGTTAACGAACAACGTTAAACTTTCTTTCTAAATTATAGTTTTTTGATATATCATTAATTAATACTAGACATTAATTAAACTTTCAAAGACAAAACTGTAACATTTATACTTTCAATTCTTAAAAATCAACTAGTTTTCTGTACGCAACTAGTCTCTGGTATTATTTTGATAACACCGATGTTCAGAAGGAGTATGTCCAGGGTGACTTAAGTCATTGGAGTCAGATTAATCAGCGCAGTTCGGTATCGCTCTTCCACAAGTTGCTTTCTACAGTTACAAGTTAAATGTCTGCAACTAAGAGTTGCATAATACATACTCTGATTAGACTAATTAGAGTTATTTGCGCGCTACTTTAAATAGTAAATACTTTTACACAACACACTCTGAGATTATATGGTTAAGAAGTATACTTTCAATCATGCAAAAGTCAATAAAAGGTGAAAAAATCATTGACATAACCTAGACTCACTCTCGCTGAACATCTGCTGGTCTCTCTTTATAACTTGATAGAAATTCAAATGCGCAGGGGTAAATTTTATTTCAACGGTTACATTGTTTGAACAGAATATGGCAGAAATTACTCTATCAAAAACATCCGCCAAAATAACAATTTAATTATATGTCTCCCACATAATAACGAAGAAAAAATCTTAGACATTACTAAAGTATAGAATCATCACTAGACAATGACATCAATTTCCGTCTTTTATTTTCTGAGCAAAGTTACACAACCAAGCAAAAATGTTACCTCGAAAGTAATTGTTCTTGTTCAACAAACGGATTCCAGCAAACTTTCTACATTCAATATTAACATCGATGAAAAATACTCAATAATTACTATCTCCATATGCGACGTACCTCCACAAAACTACCCACTTTTTAATTCAAGTGATTTAAAGAGAAACGTCCACACTGTCACTCAAACACATTATCTTTACTTGCCAAGGAAGTTTTTATCAGTACCTCCTCTGCAATTTGTTAGAGTTGGCGACAACATAGTCAACAACAAAGATCCCTTTAATCTATTTTTAATGACTATCATAAACAAGTTGCAGATTATTTTAACAACGGGGTAATGATATACAAAAACAAACAATAGAAACATAAACACAATTAAACAAGCAATTAAAAAAAAAGGTACCGTACCTGCAGGTACTTGCCCACGTTCTTCCTTCCCACCGGCGTCCTCGAAGCAATTCCAAGCGAAGTGTGCAAGTAAGAACCAAGAGGTTTCGGGCTGTAATTACCACAATCGTCACTGTTTTTCATACTGTCACAAGTGTCCGCTTCCCCGACACTCGAATTATCACACTCACTATTCACATTGTCTCCGTTAACGCCATTCGTACGACAAAAACACGTCTTACTTCCGTCATTGCAACAGTTATCATCTGGACCCGAAATTTTCGGCGTTAAACAATCGTTCCTCGCGTGTAAAAACGAGCCATTTCGGACAGGCTTATTCCTATCGCCGGTTGATATGACCAGTTCAGCGTCAGGAAAATTCGAGATCATCTTCTGCACATTTGGTGATATGATGTCCAAGGATTCGTTGCTCTTGTTTTTTTCCGGCGAACGGAATGATCTGTAAATGGAAGATCGGTGTGTGGTTCGTTTTGGTCCCAAGGTTTCTTCTGAGCTGAAAGTCCTGTTGAGTTCTTGATCTGGAACGTTGGCTAGAATCTTCTGTACGCAAGGTGAAAGGTTCGCGAAGTTGCTTACTTGAGGGGATCTTCGTGGCGTGCTCGTCTTCACGTCGGCTTCTTTCTGACTCTTGTTATGTTCTATGATGGCATCAAAAGCGCCCATAATACTGGGCATCAGCTCAGTAGGCGCTCCTGTAACAAAATCCCGAATTATTCATCTTGGACGCAATCGGTAGTGCAAACAGTGTTATCGTGTGAATCACGAGGAGGTACTAAATAAACGAAAACTAAGGAAAATAGACGTCACTGATACGGAACGGGAAATTTGGGAGATAACCTTGCAGTATTTATTATCAAACTTACGTAGTGGGGAAGTGAGAATCGGTATTTCTGTTTGACAACAAATGTCACGTAAACTGTTTGTAGGTGGCAAGTACATGAAATTATCAAGCAATTTATAGGTCGAAATTAATGTGTATATTACTTTCTTATACATACGGATGGAAATCCCTTATCTAGATAAACGAATATAATCGTGTATAATCGAAGTATGTATAGATAACATTAGAAAAACAAAACGACCAATTACAATTTTATGTTTATGGTTTAATTTAAGTTTATCGTAACGAATAAATTAAAATAAAAAGAAGTAAAATCCTTTAACGTTTTCAAGACATAAATAAGAGTTAATACTTAAAAACCCCTGACACAAAAAAATAATCCTTAAAAATCTGAAATTGGTTAAGATTCGCTGCGGCGGTCGACGCGCGAACCGAGCTGATTCCTGTACACCAAGTGTGTTATAAGTTGATGCTCTTGCAGTGGTTGAAATGATTATCATCAAACATGGTGAGAACCATTTCGATTAAACCAGCTTTCAAACAAAAGGCCAAAGATATCGTTCATTTACGACTTTGACTTCGTAAACATTTTATAGCGGATCTGTCATAAAATTCAATAAATACAACAATGGTGCGTTACACAGATCATGTGCCGTATTGAAATGATTATTTATTACTCTTACAATACGAGAACGTCTTGGCGCGGCAAAATATTGCATTAATGTTTGTGAAGTAATTGTGGTCAAAATCAAGGTGGATTCATAAACCAAAAATACAAAAATATGTTCTTTTATAAAATGTAAATGGGAGTTACCATGAAAAAAACATTTGTCATTTAACTGTTGAAGGGAATGATTGGATAAATTTTGGTTAGCGTTCTACCATCTACAGGATAATATTAAATCACATATAAAATTTGACAATAATCGGTTCAGTAGTTTTTAATGTCTAATAAAAAGCGATACAGACAGACAAAAGACAATTGGAAATGACAGTCCAATTGTTTCGTAGTATTGGGGTCATGAGACGTCAAAAAAACATAAAAGTAGCCATTTGTCCGATGGATCTTATTACTACTTATTATCATATTTTGCGCTATACATTTATATTCATAAGCCAAGATATTTTGTAACAAACATTTTCCTCAACTTTTGATACTCTAGCATTTTATAAAATCCACTTCATTAATTATTCATAAATTGAACCGTTACGTTTTTTTTAAATTATTCTCAAATTGTCGAATTGAACTGAATTACCGTGAACTCTCTTGAATTTACTTTAAATTAGCAAAACTGAACTCGAATCATTGGATTTTTAATACAGAATGAATTGATTATTACGGATTAGCATTAATGAGATTTTTTTTTAATAGGTCGGTGTTACTATCAGTAACCGGTTTGAATATTTATAGGGTCAAGTTTCGCATATTTCTTCGACTAATATTTTAATTTTACACTATTATGTCATGGTTATTTGTCGTATTATCGACAGTGTTAAGTATTATGTCACTTTCTACAAATACACTGAATGGCAGAAGTTAACGAATATGTCCTGCATACATAGTTTACGATGAAGATTTTGAATTATAAACGAAATTAATAAATGAAAAAATACAATGGACTGCGATTATTATAAAAAAGACAACACAAACTATTCAAATTGAACTTCCAACCGTTTAAAAAATGCAGGTACAGTTAACATGCTTTAAAAAAATCATATAGTATACAAAACTCACTTGACATGCACCTTGTAAACTTAACTCAGTTTACATATACCTAGTAAAATTTTACAGGTCCATTATGGCAACAATGGACAGTAATAATCCTTGAGGTTCGGGTCCATAAAGCTCACAATAGCCAGTTTGACTTATGGGTGCTTAAGTCATAAAAGTTTTACAAGGTGTATGTCAAGTGAGTTTTATATATTTCGATATAAGTTCCATTTTGTATGCCATATGGTAGGTAAAAATAAACAAATTCAATATGACGAATTGTTTTTCCCTAAAATAAAAAAAAATACTTCCAAAATATTTTCTTCCAAACTTTCTATCAAACTTTAAATCTAATACTACGGTGTTGTCGGTTTTACGTTCATGGTAGAATGCAGTGTTGGTGTTTTTTTTAGTCTTGAAATACTTCAACAACAAAACAATCTGAAACTGTCACTGTTCCTCTTACATTTGATGTGAAGACCAAATTACAGTGGAGTAGAGTGGGCACGATCTAAATTCAACACAATTTTTAAATTTAAGGGATGGGCGCACCCTCGGAGCCGCCCGTCATCGTTTTCTAATCATACTGGATTTTTCTACTTGGGTATTTCCAGTTCAATAGTTTATTCATTATTGACAAGTTAACTTAAGGTTGTGTTCCCTTGTTATTGTTTGCGATTTAAAAAAGAGTTATTTTCAATGACAAAGTAAATAAAACCACCTCCTCAAGTGCGCACGTTACACTACTGACTGACAATCACTTGTCAGATTGCGATGACGATGACTCACCATGTTGAATTTACATCGTGTGGACTCTATAGTATATATCATATTTAATGTTTCTAACTGATCTTTAATAAAATAAATATTAACGCAAAAAAAATTACACCTACCTAAAATTACTAGTAGTACTAGTAGTATTTTCTTTTTATTCTAAAATTCTATGAACCTACCACCACTTACCCACTATTTAGACAGAAATTCTGTTATCTTTCAGGAGAAAATGTGCAACACTCCAGCAACTTTTTCAAACCTTATAGAACAATGACAATTTATGAATTATTTCGAATTTCCCGCGCAAATTATTCAATAACACAACACAATGCAAGGTTATATATTGACTTTTCAAGACGTGATGAATTCCCAGCACGCAAAGTATCTAACAGAGGGGGATCTAATTAATGTATCAGACAGAGTAAGTAAATTTTACATTCTTAGCATAGCTCTGATGACGCATGTTATCGTCGAAATTGTTACTATAGCGACAGTACGCTCCAAAGTATACTCAACCTGATCTAAACAAACCGTGGCCTCACCTGAGCTGAACCAAATATCTTTTTACATTTTTTTAAATGAACTGAATATAAGAAATTAACGCTTATATAATTTGTTTAAAAGTAAAAAGTTAAGTAAACCACATTTGATTTAGATTTCGTTCATCGTAAAATAAAAATCCACCAATTTATCGCTTTATTGTGGATTTATAGGGTTATTGGTGCCTTGCTCTTTTTATAACACACTACTCTACATTGTATAAAAATAAAACTAAAACAGCGATAAGATTATACATAATTTTATATTTGTGAAATAATTCGGGGCAATTATTTTTAGTATCAATTTCTAATTTAATGAATGACTCCATCAACGTAAATCAAACTCCAAACTCAATAAACTCGTCTGGAATTTTTTGTAGTTTAACATTTTTCCATAATCGTGAAATCTAAATTCCACTACCGCATAAAGGGAACAAGTTTATTTACTTCTCGAGCGGTAACAATTTTATTAGACACATAATTTCCGAAACTAATGAACCGATTCCTTTGAAATTTGAGATATACAGCAAGATTACCGTAAACATAGTAAATGCTAATTAAAATTGGTTTTTTATTCCTCCAAAAATGTGCTGATCGATTTCAAAATATTTTTAAATAAATCCCACAGTGAATTGCAGCAATACATTATTTTATAGTAATCCTGATATTTTTAGATCACCCAATTTTACAGTTTAATTCAGTGATTAGTAAAATCAATGTCACTGTACCATAAATTGCATAAAAATAAAACCAAAATAGTGATAAAATTATACATCATTTTATTTTGGCAATATAATTCGTCTCAATTTCTAATTATGAATGATTCTACCAACGTAAACTTGCTAAACTTGAATGGAATTTTTTGTAGATGAATATTTTTCCATAATTGTGAATAACAAGAAAACTAATTGAAAATAATTGAAACTGAGAAAATGCGTCACCGTTCATAAACAAATACATTTAAAAACATGAAAGGTATGAGACACATGGCGGCGCAACATTTGTATAAAAAGTATTTTTAAACAAACATAAACATCAACTTACAACCTTCATTAAAGGCGAGTTAGTTGTTTTTCTTGTAAAATACCACGGCTTGTTCTGTCTAAAGTTAATCGCCATTTTTACACGGTTTCCCATTAAAATGGTGCAATAATTTGTGAAAACGTGACCCTGGTGCCTACAAGTGCTAATGACACTTAACAAGATCAAATTTAGACCATGTAAGAACTTAAGAAGTCAAATAGAATTAGAAAACTTAATTGTGCGAATTAAAAGTAGTTTCCGATGGTAATCGAGTTCAAATTAATTAAAAAGTTAAGCTCGTATCAATTAAAAAATAACACCACTTGTTACTATGAACTTGTTAGTAAATAAAGAAATCATGTCACACTCCATACCTTCCTTGTAAAATAACAAACAACAAGGACATCCACGTTGGTTGCAGATTCTCCGCTACATACCAGTAATCGCATTGGTGTTTATGAATAATGGGCGATTATGCACACACTGGTATTGAATTTAAATGTAAAATTGTAAAATGTTTATTGCTTTACTGATTACAGCAACAAAGTAATAATAAACACTTCCAGCACTATAACATCACCGCCGAAGCTGTGCATGCATTCACACAATGAAACACGGATTCCGCTTGCGTCAAGACTAAATACAAAATCGCGGCAAAAATTTTGAAAGTTGACTCAGCACAACCTCTTTTCCTAGAAGTCTAGGTAAAGATCCCTCGCATAATTTTCGTGGAAACAACAATCTCCCATTAACCCCTGGCCATACCTGAACCCTTATTAGACTCGATTTTGGTATACATCGCAA